AGCGAAGGGCGTGATGACTTGTCAAAAGCTCTACATCCGGCGCAGAGCAATGAGTGGTCAGTACTGATGACGGGTGCTGTGTGATGGACATGCTTACGTGAACTCTGTTCGAAGCACTCGAGGCGTCATCATGCGCTCAGAACAGCGTTCACGTGAGCTTGAACGTCCGCACTACGATCGCCTGTTACGAGGATCGCAGCGTCCATAGAGCTGATAAGAAGTTGCGTCGCCAGCGCCGCCCCAGCCACGCCTTTAATACAGCTGCTGCGCGCTACTGACCAGAGTTCTTCAAGCAAATACGGTGAAGACGGTCGATCGCATGGCACTCTCTCTCTTGTGGCTGGTACGGCGAACTCGAGACCACGTCAGTCGACGCGGCTGCTGAGGAAGAGTCGGCGCTGGAATGGTTCCTACAGCCCATGTAACTTGCATAAGACCGTGCGTCCCAGCTGGAAACAACGTGCTCCAATATCGTAGCAGCAGATTTCAAAGAACGATCGAATATGTGCAGAGATGGGTTATGGATAGCCTGCTACAGGAAACAAGAGCTCACTGTACTGATTTGCTCTTGCAACGATACCTCGAAGATAGTCTATCGCTGCTGAAGTAGACGCAGAGGACACTGATCGATAGCCACAGTCGTCGGGTGGTCGGAGGCTCATGGTCGTCGATCAAGTGCTCACGGCATACGGCAGACGCACGTGCCACGACGTCTCTGGTTCATTCGAGTCGAACCTGCTTGCGCGCCACAGGCGATACATCCGGAGATAAGTGGCTTCGACTGCACAAGCAGCTTGCCCATCCCGTGCGTAGAAATGATCTTGTTCCCGGTCGATGTCGTGTTATGGTGTCGATCGAAACAACGCGTCGACTCGTTTTGCAACTTGTATATGAGCGCGACGTTCCCTTGTCAATGACTCGTACGTGGGTCATTGCAGATCATAGTAGCCGAGCGACTTTCCTCCGCGTGGTCTGCGCTATGTCTTCGCTTGTGCGCGCACGTCCGATGCTGACTCCCTTGTTGCATATCCGCAGGCTATCCACGTCGATGCAGCGCTTCGTGTCGCGCTCGAACTTGAAGCTTGCGTAGTCTCTACAGCTACGCGGGGCTCGACACGTCGCCAATACGTGCCACTCAAAGTGTGTGGCACTCGTTCACGATGCGGTTGCTGCGTGACGTGCGCGAAGAGTCCCTGATTCCCCATGACATATGTAGGTCAAATGAGTGGGTGGCCTTGCTTTCGACTTGCTCGCGATGCTTTGGCCATCAGCTTTGACCGGACGATACGCAGCCGAGAAAAAGAGGCCGGCACTAGTGTCTGGGAAAAGAGTGCAAAGTGGGGCGCTGCAGTTCTTGTCACGTGCGCAAAAAACAAGTAGACTAAAAAAACGGAAGTACTGGGGCTGCAATTGGGACGGAATGGCACTGAATAGGGTCCCTGGTGGCCCAGTTTGCACGCAGGAGGCAATACAGCGATGGAAAATAGGGTCGACACCAAAACTCTGGCATGACCAGAATGGCTGGTCATACAGCACGCATGTACAGGATAGAGAAGGTGGGACGCCGATAGGGTATCTGCCCTTCCGTACAAATAGATTTGCGCGTCGTCGGAGATGCAAGGAGTGCATGGAGCGACATAGACAAGTCGATGATGATGAACAGGCCATGCCGTTTGCTACATAGAGCCGGCTCTCGCTCGCGCTATGTTGAAGTATACAATAGGGTCGGAGGTTGGCAGCAACACTCGGACCGTATAGCCTGCGCTCGGTACAGAATCATGAGGAGTGCTACAAAGCACGTCTCGAGCGAAACTGTGACAAGCATGTAGACGCTGCGCACCGAACAGCGCGCGATTGTATCGTGGTTTCGCAACGCCATTGGGACCGACCGCAAACAGCGACCCTTTGCTGCTATAACTTGTCGTTGTTTCCAAGTGCCACCGTTTGCTCTGCAGGCATTTGCTGGTCGCAGCCCCGTTGTTTCGGCTCGTAAGCTCGTGCCGGGCCTGTCATGAAGCGAGTTGCGCCTACGAAGCCCTTTCGTTCACCCGATGCTGCCGTTGTAGCACTTCCGTAGAGCAGCTTCGTCGCTACATCGCACAATGTATCGTCATCTAGAAGACGCTGGGGGTCCTGTTTCGGGTCACGCATCCACTCGAGTATTTGATGGTTCACTCGCAACGCAGCATTTGTACGATGTGTCTATCGTACTCCACAAGGGCTATAGCTGTTGGGTTTGTCAAGGTTCGCCTGGTGGCCGATAGCAGGTTGGCCGTTGGCGTTTGGATCTAGTGAGCTGATGTGTATGGAGAGCGAGCAGGAGCCTCAACAGCAAGGAACCGGCCATCGCCAGCAATACGATAGCGCGAACGCTCCTCGCACACCTCGAAATAGCGGGAGCATCCGTACAACGTTTGTCACACACACACAGACCCGGCTGAGCTAGACCGTGGCTTCCATAGAAGTGCTAATCAGGAGTTGAGCCGATTCCTTACGCGCGGACGACAGTGTCGAGTTGCGACAGGATCCCCCGATATAGGGGTTCCAGTCGACAGTGTCGACACTCCATGGGCCGACCGTCATCATCAACGCCAAGTTCGACCATGTGGCCGAGCAATTCTTCTACCACCAACCCTGAAGACGGGTAGAAAGCCCGTGTGATTACGGATACGAGCTGGCGTCTGCGTCGACACCATCGAAGTCGCTCGAGAGCTCAACGACACAGGAGTCACTCAAGTTGCTGTAACATCGACCATCGAACGTGCATGCGGAGTGGGCGATGGAAGAATACGCACAGTGCTGTGCGCGTACGCGTTCAGACAGAAAAGTCGCATACATTGATACCCTACCGACTGGCACGACTTTGTGTTCGAGGTCTGTTGCGATGCCTCAGCGATCACCTTTACTACCTTTCGCGTAGCGCGGTAAGGCACGCAGATACGTTCTGCTCTTACCTGGCCAGGTGGTGGTGGTCGCTGGAATTCGACTACCGTTGTACCCCAATCGCACGTCGAGCTATAGGTACGCGTACAGCAAACGACTGGATGTCCAACTCGCCGATGCAGCCTTCAATGGTCGGACATCGCTGCATGCTCCGCCTCGAATATTTGCAACCCACCTCAATGCACCTTATACCAGATGACCGGGTGCCTGCAATCAAGCACTAGCCGCGTTCCAAAATCAAACTTCGTCGTCCAGCAGTCCGAGTCAGCCCTTCGGAGTAAGCGCACCGATTGAAGTGCCCTTGTTGCATCATCACTACTGCAAACTGTGCCTGTTTCTCGGCTCACGACATTTTCTAGGGCAACAATCGTTTACATGGCTCAGTCTAGTTGTGGTAACCAAGCCGACGAGTCCGCGTGATGCCGATCCAACAGATTGCGATCGAGCTTAGTTGGTGCATGTATCGACGATCACACACAAGTGCATGAGGTGCACAGTGCTGGTCGGATGCGTAAACTCTGGCAATCGCACGCGTCTTATCGAGCAAAAGTGAGGCCTGGCTGCGATCCCCGTGGCCGACTAAGGCATACTGCTTCTGCGCCCACCCTGTTTAACGATGCATGACACCCACGCGGACATCGACTGGTACCGTGGATCAAGTCAACTTCCAATCTTGTACCGATACGCCTTCGTTGACACATTTGGGCTGAGGCAAGCGGTCCCATCTAATTGGCATTGGTCCTTTTTGGCGAAGCCCGATTGCACTTCGCCCGAAGTGGGTAGGACCCTGCGACACGTCGGCAGCATCGTTGCATGCATCCAGCGAAAAGGAACAAGGTCAACTGGGCCGGCCAAGAAACTACATGGAAGAGTGCCGAGCGCTAAGCATCTTCACTTATAGGATGCCCGCTCCGACCTTGAGCGACAACGACCAAATACTTGTTCCGGTGCTGCCTCTCACTTAAGCACGGCGATGAATCCTGAAAACTTTTTCACGACATGCTCCACGCTCAGCTCGCTCCTTGCTACAATTATTCGCGACAAGCTCGTTTCGTTCTATGTGGTCGCGCTTCTACGCGGCATCAAAATCGAGCAAGGTGAAGTTGGGATAGGCTGCAATGCTCCGATCTGATTGCTCTCAGCTTCACCGGACGCGGTAAGTGACGTCTTGTGACTTAACGTTTGGCGGCATAGCGTCAAGGGGCAAGGCACAAACTTGTTCCTTCGTCATTCGAGATCAGCTCACAAGAATACCACCACTTCGGGCCTTTGCCAATGTCGTCATTGCGGAGCCTCAAAGCAGCAAATGGAATCGAGATTCAGAATAGAAAGCTACTTGTAGCTGTAAAAGGAAGAGCGGGATGCCACACTGCTACCAGTACGTGCGAGTCGCAGCTAGGATCCCTCGCGTGCATTGACATGCAAGCAATGGGTAAGTGAGCTAAATCAAGTTCACCTGAGACACTCGCTTGCGAATCATCGTAAACGCGAAGGAATAAATAACAAACTAGGCGAAGTGGTCGTCCTGGCGACAATTGCGACAGAGTGAGAGCTGTCACAGGGATCGCTTGATGAGTGTGCGGCGTAGTTATCGATACCTTACGTGCAAGATCGAACTTCTGGTAAGTGCAGACCTTGTCTCAATTTGTGCGTCCATGAGCGGCTCGACTAAATATTTTCCTAATCGATGAGGATCGTACCAAGGACGGGTGGCGCTGGTGAAAACGGGATATGGGTCTAGTCATGCTTATCACAAAACGCTAGCCCCTTATCGACCTTTACAAGTGAAGGCGGCAGCATTATCGGCACATCTTGATAGCCTACCTGCACATATGTCGGCTCCTAACCTTCGACTAGCCCATCCATGTATGGGCTTACAACGACACATGTCGGTCCGTGATGTCGATGTGTACCACACCTTCGCGCCACCTACAAAAATACCCTTTATAACACGTTCCCTTTTGTAAAAACGAGTCTGTCACTGTTTTAAACTCGTTTCGACCAGTCCGTGGCATCAGCACTACCGACCGTACCCAACGAACCCATTAGGGCTCCACATGTTGCACCTCGAGCGTCTACACGCTCAGTTGTGCCCCCGCTTGGCACGCCAATGGTCCACTCAGACGTTCATCACGACTCCTATTTTCTACGTGAACGCTGCTCCCCACATTGGCCACGTGCACTCGGCCGTGATGGCCGACGCGCTCGCTCGTTGGCACCGCCTCAAGAAGTGCGACGTGCTGTTTACGACCGGCACGGACGAACACGGCCTGAAGATCCAAGAGGCAGCAGAAAGGCGTGGCACGACGGATTATAAGGCCTTTTGTGACGACGTGTCGTCACGTTTTGTCGACGTGTTTCGCAAAGCGAACATTCGCTACTCGCGTTTTATCCGGACGAGCGATGCGGACCATAAAGCAGCTGTCGAGGTTTTTTGGCAAACGATTCGGGAGAATGGGTACATCTACCGAGGGCACCATGAGGCGTGGTACTGCAAGTCGGACGAGAGTTTCTTGACCGACATGCAAGTCGAGGACAAGCTGGACGCTGATGGCGAGACTTTGATCACAGTATCGAAAGAGAGTGGACACGCTGTCGAGCGACTGTGCGAAGAGAACTACAAATTCAGACTCTCGGCTTTTCAGGATCGACTCTTGCACTGGTTGGAGGAGAACCCAGAGGTGATTGTACCTACGGCCAGGTACAATGAAGTGCGAGCTGCTGTGCGAGGAGGTCTGCGGGACTTGTCCATCTCGCGGTTGCGAGAGAAGATCAAGTGGGCGATTCAAGTTCCCGGTAAAACTAGTGCTCGCGTTTGTTTCTAGTCGGTGGATCACAAGCAACTTATGTGTTGTGGACGTGCGCATTGCTGGTTGTTGTTGCAGATGACGACAAGCACAGTGTCTACGTGTGGCTGGATGCATTGACAAACTACCTGACGAGCGCTGGGTACCCTGGCAACGTTGATCAGGCGTGGCCGGCAGATTACCACATCGTGGGCAAGGATATTCTCAAATTTCACGCTATTTATTGGCCGGCATTTCTCATGGCCGCAGGGCTTCCGCTGCCGAAAAAAGTGGTGGCACACGCGCACTGGACGGTTGGGAACGTGAAAATGTCGAAAAGTCTGGGCAACGTCGTAGACCCGCATGACATGCTGTCGAAATATGGATCCGATTTCGTCCGGTTCTTTCTCTTGCGCGAAGGAGTGCTCACAAGCGACGGTGACTTTAACGCTGCAGCTCTGGTGGACCGCGTGAATAGCGAGCTGGCCGACACGCTCGGCAATTTGGTCTCGCGCAGCACTGGCAGTGTAGTGCTGGAAAAGGGTATAGTGCCAAAGCGTCCTCAGCTCGACCACCTGACAGCCGAGGATAAAGAGCTCGTGGCAAAGGGACAGGCTCTTACTAGCAAGGTCGAGAAGTATTTCGACGCACCTGATGTACGTACCCTTTGTTGTAGCTTCGTTGGCACGCGGCTATTCTTGACTTCTTGCTACGATGCTCGTCTCTTCTTGTTACAGTTTGCTCGTGCTTTAGAAGAAATCGTGCTTTTCCTGCACGACGTCAATCGGTACGCTGTCGATCATACAAGCTGTGATGTGGCGTGTTGTCCTCGAGACTAAGCAGTTTTGCATCAGGTATTTCACCATCATGAAACCTTGGGTCCTGTCAAAAGCCGTGCGAAACTCTGAGGACGTGACGGCTGCAGAGTACAAAGCGGCGAAAGAACGCCTGGACACTGTGCTGTATCTTGCGATCGATGCAACGCGTATGTGTGGTACGTTAGCAAAGTACATTGAGGTCGTGACCTCTTTCGTTCTAACAGCAGCGTTTGTACTGCTTACCCTTTGTAGCAATTTTGCTACAGCCGGTCGTGCCAATGGCGACGCAAAGGATCCTAGACTACCTCGCAGTGCCGGAAGACAAGCGCTCGTTGGCAGAAGCAACGCTTCTCAGTCATGACGACCGAGTAATGGGTGACGCACTTGACAATGCCAGGGCATTTGTAGCGTTCCCCAAGATCGACAAGGAGCGAGAAACATCGTAAGACTGCATTTCGAGAGCGTATCTCTCTTCAAGCATTGGGATCAAACTGCGGCAACACCAAACGCATCAACGCACGTTGCCTCACTCGCCAACGGCATTCCATTGGAAAGCGTTCATCACGTTATACTCCTTTTTCCCTCGTCCAGTCGTCCTGCACGCCCTACGTCGACTTGGCCGCAAGGTACCGCTCCTCCACGTTCTTCCAGTTGACCACGTCCCAAATGGCCTTGAGATAGTCGGGACGCACATTCTTGTACTGCAAATAGTACGCGTGCTCCCACACGTCAATGCCCAGCAGCGGCACGTAGCCCGTGGTCGCACAAATGTCCTGATTCGACGTCGTCACGACGCCCACGCGCTTCGACTCGGGCGAGAAGCCCAGCCAGCCCCAGCCCGATCCTTGCACGGCAGCCGACTTGGCCGCCATGACCTTCTTGAACGCCTCCAAGCTGCCAAACTCGAGGTCAATGGCCTTGCGCAGCTCTCCTTCGGGCTCGCCGCCCCCGTGTTCACGCGCAGGCGACAGGTTCGTCCAGAAAATCGAGTGGTTCACGTGACCGCCTCCGTTGAACTTCAGCGCTGGCTGCAGCGTCAGCATCTTCGAGTAGTCGCCGCGGGCTTCGGCTTCGGCGTGTTGCTCGAGCGCTGCATTAAAATTGGTCACGTACGTCTGGTGGTGCTTCTGGTGGTGGATCTCCATGATTTGGCCGGCGATCGACGGCTCCAGTGCGCCAAAGTCGTACGGCAGCGACGGCAGCTTTGCCGTTGAGATAGCGCGCGTGCCAAACGTGGCGCGCACGGGCAAAGACGACGCGAGACGAGCGCTGCGCAGCATATTGCAAGTCGTTTCGGTGGGAGATCTCTCGGCGGGATATCTGAAAAGCTCAATGGAGGAAACCAAACGGGAGGTGGAAGGGAGGGGAGGGAGGGAGGGGCGACAGCTGTGTGGCCAAGGGGAGCAACTGTCGAGTGGGTATTTAGGTTGTGGAAGGGGAGTGTTCGAGCCGGACGAGATGATGGTGCAGCACAGGGGCGGTCGTTTGATGTCTACTTAGTCGAGAGACGAGGGTCGGTCCGAGGCGCTGTGCAGACGGCTATTTCTCCAAAGCGAACTTAGCTGCTAAGCGGCACTCGGGTGATTTGTGCCTGTAGCTTTTTTCATGGAAACGATGCAATTAGCCACGCGGTCACATTCTGTGTCGAGAGCATTTCCATGTACGCAGTGACGACCGCTTTGCAATTTGTGCTGCTTAGTGTCATTGTTCGGAGAGTTTATATCGAGTGTTCGGCCTCCTCCTTCGCACGTCTTCTCAGCTGTCCGTTCGATACCTCTCCCTCAGTAGGTGGTCCTCCATGAGAACTGGGGACAGGTTGTAGCTGCTGCTGCTGCATCATCAGCGATGTCTCGTCGTGCCACCTTTGGCTGTTTGTACATATCAGCGAAGGATAGTAAGTGATGCCAGCACTGCGGTTCGGATGACTCCTTGTTTACAAGGCGCCGTTGCCGTGCAATCTCGCAAGACGCGTTTGCGACCCAAGGAGAGTCTGGAAAGTGGGCTTCCACTCGTCACTGTTGCACGCAGATGGAAGCCAGCAGGTTCTTTGGGATACTGACACAATAGGATGCACTCGCTGCTACCTGCTCCCACCAGTCGATTGTCCATGCCACCTCTCTGCAGACACGGCGACGGCAACGACGACATCAGCGTTCTGACGTTCACGCGTTGGTTTATTCACGACAAGATCATCCCACGTGGCGCTACGTCGTTCCCAAACGACTGATTCCAATCGTCGCAACTGACGGTTTTGCTTCAAGATGGTGCGAGCTTATTGCACAATCGTCTTGCCCCCCCACACAGACCAGTCGATCGACGTAGTATCTAGCAAAGTGTCATCCACTCGGAAAACAGTGGACAAAAGCCTCACATTCGGACGTGTAGATTCGTTTTTCAAGATTGGCACTTCCTCGAGTTAGTACACACGTACTCACAAAGACACTGGTAAACATGGAAGCCCTACTTGCCAACGCAGTGACGCTGCGCTCGTTCTTGGAGAGGTGCGAGCGGTGAAGTGTCACACATCCACTGCTAACGACTAACGATATGTGTGCAGCGCTTCAGAGGATGATAGCAACTTGGATCGAGCCGATGTGCTCGAGCGAAACCTCTCGCGAGTGACTGACCGCGACGTCTCGTTTGCTCTGGACCACACTTTTCTCATCCAGTCACTTCCGACGGGAGTGAAACCGTTTCCTCGATCTCCATGGCACTGCAACACGAACATGGCACATGTAACACCATAACCCAAACACTGCTCGTCACGTGCATATCAAACCCAAGCGAGTCGAAAGACGTCAAAGCATTGACACGTTTTTGCTGCGCTGTGTGACAGACGGAATTAGTGCACCAGGTGGTCGAGCAGCTCGTTGTACGCAAACGGTTGATACATTGGGAACACGCAAACATCCTGACGCTCGGGTATCGCGAAGAAACGCCGATGGCTTCAGGCCACCGTGTGACGCAATCCAATCGGATCGTGTGCTACTACCCGAACACACTCGTGGCTGCGCTCAAACAGCCGCTTTGGGCTTCGCTGCATAAACTCATGGGAGACGATCTCATGATGCACTTGCTGCTCTACTATACCATTTTGGTACAACTGGAAGAATGGCCAAAGGTCTACGTGCAGGTAGCTGCTGTGCTTGAGCTCAAGAACGCGCTGGACGAATGTGGTACTAATGTCTTCTAACATACTTTACCAGCTCACGGGAAAAAGTCTGCGTCAGCAAATGTGGCATGCTGGAGATGACGATGCAAAGCGTACTGTGTCAATTCATGACGTCATGTATGCCCGCTATTTCCGAAAGGACAGAGTATTTGCGCGCTCGCACGTTCTGGCAAAAGCGCTCAAGATGGGCAATCCGATCAGCCGGACTGAAGCGTCTCGATTGCTTCGTTCAATCTTCCCCGCCGTTGCAGGTCAAAAACGTTTACCGAAGCGGATGATTCGTTTGATTCCGACGATACAGACCATGGTGTCAAGACTCCGAGCCTGTCCGATCGAAGGGCTTGCAAAGAACCATACGCCTCTGAACGCTGAGTTCCGCGAATTTATGGCTAACAATCTACGCATCAAGCGTAAAGTCGCAGAGAGAGCTGCCGGAGGGAAGGTATGTGTGCAGCCCATACTCTTTCCAATTGTACAAAAAGCTCTGGATGACGGATACATGAGTCAAAACGAGGCGGAGGTACCGAGCTCAGATCGTAAACGGAAACGAAGAGAGCAGGCACTCGGCATGCTGTCCCATGTATCAGTGGTTGCGCCACAGAATGGAACCAGTAACTATCCGTGCGACCGAAGCAAGCAGAAAAGCACTCACAGCGGCAGTGTAAAGAAGCGTCGCTCTCACGACCAGGCAGACCTGACGAAACTGCAACGACATAAGGCGGACATCAATCGGTTGCTCGCGTGCACGACGCCCAAGCACAAAATCTATCGGCTGGTTTGTAAGTTCGTTGCTCGAGTCATTCCAAAAGAATTGTGGGGTAGCTGCGATACGCAAAAGAACTGGAAGTGCGTGAAGATGCTGCTGCACAAGCTCATTTTTTCTCGAAAGTTCGATACCTTCTCGCTTTCAAAGGTGCGCATGTAGTTCTCCAGCATGACGGATGGAAGCCAGTGGCTGACGGCGTTTCGTGCAGTGCTCCAACGAGTTCCAGGTGCACGGTGTAGAATGGATGAGAGTAAAAACGAGTACAACGTCTTGGTATGTGCTTGTACGGGGTTTTGGAAACGAGCTCTACCTCACCCATGTCGTCTATTCCTAGCCCGTTGAACGAACAAGTCAAGCGCAGGAAGCTCTTTGAGGACTTGCTACGGTGGGTAACGTCAGTGCTTGTCTTCCCAGTGTTGCGGAACATGTTTTACGTTACAGAGACTGAAGGATTGGCCAACGAAATTGCGTATTACCAGCGCCCGGTCTGGAATGCAATCAGGTAGGCAAAAACCGTTCGATGAATACTGCTGCGATGCTTTTACCATCTCGTCGTGCGCTGCAGTACGCTTGCTCTTGATGACTTAGAAGGGGGAATTCTGCAATCTTCTGGTGCCCAAATTTCTCCCTGCGACCAGAGTCACCGCTTGCTAGCAACTTCTCGACTAAGATTGTTACCTAAGACTAGCGGGGTTCGACCGCTCATGAATTTGTCCAAAGCTGTTGATCGGACCAAGTTCTCAGTAAACAGATCTTTGGAAACCGTTCATCGAGTGCTAGCATTTGAGGTGGAGCGACAGCCCGAGCGACTTCTCGGAGCATCTGTGCAGAATACCGACGAGATCTATAAGCGCCTGAAACCACTATTCGGTCAGATATCCTCCTGCCCTCGATGCAGGGAGCGGCAACGTACTTCTCGGAATGTGCCAATGGCTTACTGCGTGACTGTGGACGTTGAACGCTGTTTCGAGACGATCCGACCGCAAAAGATGTATCAGATATTGAAGAAGGCGATGCGAGAAGATGAATACCTCATTCGCAAGCATTGGGTTGGCCGGCAAGTTGTCCCGACGCCATCAGATATCGATATGGGCAAACTGTTACCACACTCATCATTTCATTTCAAGCTGGAGCGTCCCGCGTACCCGTCTGGTGAATTCCTCTGTTTCAACGAGCTTGTAGCGCGGTCTACGAAGAAGAACGCTGTCCTCGTGGATGGTGTTCTTTATGACTACCTCACGAAAACGCAAGCCCTTCAGTTGCTGAAAGACCATTTGTTTGCGAACTCCGTCGAGATCGATGGACACGACTACGTTCAACAGTGTGGGATTCCGCAAGGTTCTGTGCTCTCCACAATTTTGTGTAACATGTATTACGCTCATTTTGAGCGACGGGTGCTTCGCAAGCGTTTGCCAAAAGTATACGATCCGGCTATCGTGTCTGTGTCCTGCTGTCGACACGAGAAACTGTTTCGTTATACGGATGACTTCATGTTTATCACGACAGACTTGAAGAGAGCACAAACGTTCTACGAGGTGATGCATGAAGGCAATAAAGAGTACGGGTGCTTTGCGAATCCAGCGAAAAGTCAAGCAAATTTCGAGACCACTGCCGGAACGTATCAGCCCAAGCAATTTGCATCGTCAGTACTGGAAGGGAGTATATCATGGTGTGGCCTGTTGATCGATTTCAGCCAACTGCAGATCTACGTCAACTATGAAAAGTAAGTCCAGCTGCGATCGATACATCAAGGCACTCACTAACATACTCGGATATGTGTGACTGCTGCAGACTGAGCAGTTCACTGCTTTCAAGCTCGATACCACTCAACGAGACAAAGGCGCCACGAGACTTCTTCGTGGGCAAAGTAGTTTCTTCGGTTCGTCATCGATGGCATGCGCTCTATTTTGATGCCGAGTTGCTTTCGCAAGACACCATCGACGTCAATATGTTCCAAATGCTGATGCTGGCAGCACACCGGTTCACAGTTCTCGTCGAGATGTTACCGTTCGTGAACCGTGACATGCGTTTCTTTCACGAAAGCATCCATCAAATTTTGAGTAAGATGACCAAGACCATTCATCGCAGCCTGGAGCCAGGTCCGGCTACGAAGAAAACGTCCAGATCTTACGTGTTCCAGAAGCATCAGGTACGGCCAACGTCTATTTGGTGTCGACGCATGTTGGTGCTTAACTACGTGGCTGCACAGGTCTGGGCAATAGGTCTGTATGCATTTCAGCTCACTATCCTTGCCAAGCGGGATCAAGTCCATGCAAAGCATCGCCAATGTCAGTGGGCAGGTTGGCACACGCTGCTAGATGCCGTACGAACGGAGCAGGAGGAATTCATGCAGCTGGCGGAGAAATGCCAAAGTACCGAGCGGCGCTCAACTCTCGATCTCGATTGGTTGTTGCATGACCGCCGCAATACGGCCGTGTTGAAACGGCTTCTGCAACTTGGTGTGAATGGCTCGAGCGATACACGTAGAAGTTGACTTGTCAACACGTCGGCAGTGAGGATGGCACTGCGGGTCGTCGCCAAAAATGAATACGCCTTGCAGGCTCGCAGACATTTGCCATTTTGTGTCGTAAGTCGTGTCACAGAAGCATCTCATAACAGCTCTCTGATTTCTTGGTGCCTTCTTGTACGTCGTCACTGCAAATAAGCATCAGCACTATCATATCTTGTATGCCGTCAGAAGCCAGAGACCGACATTTGCACATTGACGTGTTGTGACTACGAGGTTCACAGCACGTCAATACGAGAAGTATCGGCTGCTACACTAGTCAACAAGGAAGAAATGCGAGTCGTTACCGGTGGTTTCATCTAAACCATCGTGATGGAATGGGTTTCAGGCTCATTTACAATAACAACAACGCCCTTCGCTCGAATATTGGAACTACGAATGTGCTCGGATACTTGTGGGCAGTCTGCCATCCTTTTCCTGCAACTGCATGAGAAAGAGATATCGATCGTACTTTCATACCCATTGCCGTGCAATGCAGCGGGGGATCAATGCGCTCGTGTCTCTTGTCAGATACTAATCAGCAGTAACTGAACGATGCGGAGGTGAATGAATGAATGAATAGAAGATGGAAGAGTACGTGCTCATGAGATTGTCAACACCTTAGTTTCGCTTGACGGCACATCAAAGTACATCGCACCTTCAGGAGATTAAAGAGATCGAAGACATTAAGTGCAAGCGCACGAGTTTCGCATTGGTCGTGTGGCTATGCGCTCAGGTCATGCGATACAGCATCATTGCATCAACGATCTAAGTTCAGTTGCAAGCGGTCTAATTGCGTAGTGGATCATTTACGCAGTCCGTGTAACAGTACCAATTGGCAGATCAGCTACGTCGCCGCGTTCACGCGTGTTATGGCCCATTGACAAAGATGCAGTCAAATATCATTTGAGTACAATTCTCAATCTGCGTACAAAGGCGTACTTTGCACATACACATACATGCCAATGCTCATCATTGTCCATTCTTTGCCCCATCATTCTGCAATGGAAGCGGACATCGTACTTGTTCCTCGCAAGGATTGATAGCGCAATCACGCGTTATCCATTCCGGACATATGGACACCACTTTTACAGTAAACACATGATCTTGAGCAATGCACTCAGCACGACAATGCAATACCCTAGTCAAGAAACATCGTTAACAGAATCTTGAGCACCGACACGTCGGTAACATGGAATAAGTGCTTACAATCTGAACCGTGTCTGTCATCGAGTGTACGAATTCTGATAGATGTACGTCTTTATCGTTCAGTGTCCACATTTGGGTTGTTATGATACACGACTGACTACCAATGCGAGAGAAGATTCGTAAATGAGAGATGGACAAATGGACGGCGTCGTGCGACCCTCACCGTCAGCAGGTCGTCTTGTTGACCCACGGTAAAATCAGAACGTAACGTCATCCGATCAAGTACCAAAACTTTGCCCAGCGATCGTACTTGACCTGGGTCACGTACGACCGCTTGGCGAAGTTGATTGACTTTTGTCAAGCCATATAAATCTCAGTTTCACCACTCGGGCCAGCATTGTATTGCAAGAAACCGATTTCGATATGGCCGAGTCAAAAGAAACAAAAGGGAAACAGAATGGAGCAACTTCACACAGGATTGGCATCGAGAACATTTGAAACGAGGAGCCAAAGGGAATATCGACAAGGGCGACAAAAACAGATAGTTGCACTATTGCAGAAAATATAACGGTGCTGTATTCGTTTGTACTAGATGTCAATTTCACATCCACCTTAGGAGAAGTGACGGCTAAATTCCTACTGTTGATGCTTTTCGGCACAAGTCAGTGGCCATCAATTATCTTCCTTGTAGCCCAGATTTGTACGCTTCCGCTGCTACTGTCATATAAATTTGAGGCCTTCCCTTTGACACCTCGACTCGTCGCAAAATGACATTTTGCAACAGTCTCTTGTGTGTGTGCTTCGTATAAGAATTGATTGCGTAGATGAGCTCATAAGGGATGAACAGGAAGAACTGAAGCGGGATGAGTCTGTTTCATGAGATTGACATCATAAGATCTCAACAAGAATGCTACCTCAACGAATACAATTATTCTCTCATTATCATACCAGTGTAGAGCGTAATATTTCGAAATACTGCCAATTAATTGACATCAATCATGATCTCAGCCAACAAAGCGTCCAATGAACAACGGACGCGCATAATGGTGTGTTGGTCATTACTTACACTTTACGTTCACAATTGGATGCAGTTCGTCCAGGCTTCAGCAGAGCTACACCACTAACTATCAAAAATTAAATGCAGCTCTTATTAAATTCGTATCGTGGCCGACATCAAACATTTGCAGATATCATCATTTCCATATGCAAGTTTACTTTTTAGATCAAACGTATTTTCTTCCTTGGACGTTATTTTTCGAGGCATCATCCTCTTGACCTATAAATGATGCCAATGGCATGTAACATTCATCTCACGATACTGCAAGGTGTATGAGCACAAGACAAAACTGATGGGAGTGTACATGAGCGTCACGGGTAAAAAGATCTGTGGTGTATAAACATTGCACGAGATCTACACGTACTATCGTTCGAGAACTCGATAATCGATGTTTTTCGCAGGTTTCTACGTGTGCCGACAAAAACTTCAAGATCGACTAAAAACTACAGACTGATGAAATGCTCGAAAAACGTTCCATGTATATATCGGAACGGCTTCCGCGTTGCAATTGTAAGTACCAATTACTCTCAAATTTTACAAGACGCCATTTTTACCCGAATGCATCATGGAGCACTAGGTGCAACTATAGGAATTCTGTTGGTGTTTGTTGACACCATGATACTTCGCATACATTCGTATCTTGCGATCGCAGTCCATGACCGCAAGCTATAATGATCAATCAGGATCCCTTGTTCAATAAAAATTCTCACTTGAGATGAGCTTGTAAGTACAAAATTTCGATCAAGCCGCTTACCCCAGGGGCGGAAAGTTGATGATCTGTGTGCGACTATTACGCCAAGCCCGAATCATGCATTATCTAACTATACCCTCGGCCACACAGAATATGCGCCTACTGCCATTCGATACTCGTTCTGTGGAACACATGTCATCGACTGGGAAGTCGTATGGCCTAACTACAAGCTTGGCAAGCTTACTGTGCCGATACTTAGCAGTATCGATGTCACTTGAGGTGAGAATAGACGCTCTCTGTTTAATTGGTCGAGCGGGTAGAGATGACAGTCCGATTGGCAGAGCAAGATATTCTGCGACAAAATGACTTGTATTAAGCTTGCAGGGAGTAAGCCTTCTCTTTTGTTCGCATGTACCGTGTATGGAGCCTTTTACGTATATGTTGCATAGAAAATGTCCAAACGACCAAGTTTCTCCTGCGTCTTATTTTACAACCAGATTCTTGATGGCTCCGCCTATTGTCACTCGTGCTCAATGTAACCTGGTGATCATGTTACATGAAATCATCATCCATACGAAATAATAGAAAGAAATCTTACGCATAATGTTCCTCTTCGAATATTACAGATACAGTGACATTCTTGCGATTAACCAAGGGTCTGCGCACTGTTTATTACAGGTTTTATATCAGCCCACCGATTTCTGCTCGACGCGCGCAATGGGTGGTGAGTGGACGTCACAATACATTTTCTCATGTTAATGGTTAGGTGAAAGCAATTGGCGACGAAGAATTCAGGACTTAATTATATCTAAACAATATTACTTTCCCTTCTTCTAAGCTCTTAAGTTTAGTAGTTTGCCTTTCATTGTGCACGTGTGCGTGAGGTGGCAGATAAATGACTAGCACCGTTGTCATATAGAGTTTTGTATATGCTGTTGTCAGGAGTAGCTATCAATGCCCCATTCCACTGCGAATCTATTGACGTGCATATACTTTGAATGTATGCGATATGCTAGAATCCAATTCCAGAATTAGACATGATAATCAACGTAATCATCAACGTGCTACCAAAAAGCAAAGTCAGCAGGAGAGTGAAGGGAGGCGTAAGAGTGACAACTCGTATAAGAGGGATTACAGATGCGCATTCGTGCAGATCACGATCAACCTTTTTTGAGATGAGAATAGGGGTCTTTTTGCGGCAGAAATACAAATGCAAGGAGCAGATTTTTAACAGAGGCAGGAAAAGGCGGCATTTATAACACAGACCGCAACGAAGTCACGAGGTTACCATATTGCAAGATCAATATGGGAAGGTGACTGGATGCGATATCAGCATTGTTTACATGCTTGAATGCTTTGCGACCGTGCATCAAGTCTGTCAAGACAAGGGGCGCTCATTTATGATCAATAGATTTATGTCGCATCAATTATGTAAAGATAAATAGGGTCGCTCCTATATGATCAATAGATTCTTTAGGTGATGCGAAGCGAATATTGTATTGCTAGCGCAGCAAATAAAACTAAAAAAGGTGGGACCATAAATAGCTGCAGATGTAGCAATTCGAGTGAATGAAGATGGAGGACGTCTTTGCGTACGTGTCAGTTTACTCTGATTCAGTACCTGTACGAGAAAAATTAGCTGCCTGTGGAAGTGGAATTATTCCACATTCAGTAATATACTAGATTTTGGAAAAACTTGGGTCCACAAGTTATTCGTCAGTAATTATCGGAAAGGTGAGCAAGAGGACGGTTGACGAAAAGAAACCACACATAGGATCAGGCTCTGGCGTTAAGCGTAGACAGCTCGGGCTCCTTAAAAATAGATATGGCTGAGCGTGTGACTTAAAGAGGTCAATGATATGTACGATTGGAGAGTAGGGAATTTGTCTTCACATATAGCCTTGAGCTCGGAAATCATTTACGAGACGAATCGATAGGCACAAAATAAACCCAGCATATGAAATGAGGGAGATATACTTTGCCTCTCACGGACATTGGTTTGCGCGCTAAGTAAGCGACCTAGATAGAGCAAAACCATTTCGGTATGATGTCTCCTGGCTCGTCGATTGCTATCATTACGGCCCTGAGGCATATATATTGTGGTATGCACGATACTATGCATAATAGGTATACATCATGGCCTTACAGAATGCAATTGGCACAGCAGAAACCATGTTACCGGAGTGTGTAGTTGTAGAGAATCGACAAATCATGGTAATTGACTTTGTATCGTAATGCTCGCCAGACGCGTTTCGGCCCACCGCCGGGGGCCTCGTCAGTGGCTTTATCAGCCTAGAAGTGATATCTCGCTGTAGCATGCGCTAACCACCTAAGCACCTTCTAGAACTTCGTGTAACTACACAAATCACTCACTATAACTATCAAACCTGGCAGCTCGGACGCCGACCCGGAAGGGTGTGTCCGCAATAACATCTTCCCTTCCAACATTCATATGCGATACCGAAGCACCGGGGAGTTAGTTCAATATGTTTACTTCGTTCTATAAATATGACGAGAGGTGATGCTAAATATGACCTGATCAACAGCTTAAAGATGTTATTTGTATTTCAGCTTTCAGGATGATTTAAAAACATCCAACGTCTTTGATGACAAACATCAAGGCCGCATACCCTAGTCTACAATAAATTGGAGGATACGACAGGGTTAATGATCTCATTTTTATAATACATAATGATGACTGAAAAGTTTTTTCTTACTGTTGTGCATGGACATTTGATACAGCAGAATCGACCTTCAGGGGTCCCCTAGTGCCCTGGATAAGCCGCTCGTGTCAAGTAAGTGGCTCGGGCTCGAAGTCCTGTCATTTTAACCTAAGGTCCATTAAAAATGTGTGCGAAACACTAGATGCACTGGTACACCCCCCTGGGAACCCGGTACCAGCTAGTAAGGCATCTCGAACATGCGAAAATTCCCAACAACTAATAGTAGGGCTATCCGGTCTGATAGGCAACCAGATCAGCTGGTAAGCACGCCCGTCCCGTGGGACGATAACCACGACCGGTACGGATGTGTAAGCCCGATCCAAAGAAGGCAGTACCAGTCGTTAAAAGATTTAAACGTACAGACTGTACCTACCGGGAAAAAAAGGAATTGACCTACACATGATCGTTCGACGATAGCCTCTCCTTCATGAATGGAGAAGAAACTCTGTGGCGTATCTGCCACGCTACGGCCGCTCCGTGCGAACAAGACTGTCTTAAAAAGTGGAGCTATATAATTAGCCACGCACCCTTTGAAGCTAAATCATGCTGCTTGATATTGATGGTGTATGCTTGCAGGCATGCAATGTTAAGCACATGTGGAGTGCACACGATGCTGATAACAGGTAACGATCGTCCCACAAGAATCAGACAATGGCAGTAGAAACATTGGTGCTGTTTCGGGATTGATCTCTTCAAATTGAAAAGATAGGTGAAATCTTTATATCTGCAGTGGAAGATAAAGGCGCAAGCGCTTCGACCTATTTCATCTCAGTCCTAATCAATCCTGTAAAAAAATACAATGACGGAGAGCGGTGCTACATTTTAGACATACACGGTCTCTCTTTGTCAACGCAGACCACGAACGACCGCGTCACAGAAGGCTTATATCTTAGGATAGGGATTTGCTTGTCAGCAACGTTAAGTACAAGCGATTTAATGAAGGATACGAAAAGTCATCTGACACCATACCACGCATGTGCTTGATCTTTTTTTGTTTGCTATTTACGTTTGTTAGATCTTTACGGAAGAACCCAACTCTCTTGTTTCTCGGACATAGTTTGCAAATTAATTATAAATATCCGTGTACCTCTTCTGTAATATCTTACTATTTAGTTGTATCTGATCACTGGTTTTGTCGTATGGTTTGAATTCTATTTTCTTGTCATGCCTTTTGTGACCGTGACCACCAATACCGTTCTTCACTCACCCTTTTCTTAGTGCCGTTTTAGCTCGCAACTATCCGTGCACTTTTACTTTTCCATGTTTTAAGACCTGCTGAAAACGGCAAATTCTGACATCTTGAAAAGATTCAGTTATCTACATTGTCGAGGCACACCATGCAAAGCGGCGAGCCTGAGCTCTACATATAGGCTGAGCTCGATTATCTTTATAATACGGCTGGTGTATCGATGGCCATGGAGGATCGCGATCTGTTGTGTAAGTTGGCGCAAAGTTAAGGAAATAACAAGGTTCATGTCTTACAGGGCGGCCACGGTTTTGATTTAGAAGCTTTTGGCTACAGCACAGTCGCGTGTGAATGACAAACAGCAGCATCGTATAGGTCAACTTTTGCATTTATTTCATGCCCGTCGAATGCTAGCTATCGGAGTATACTATTGCGCTTCATGCCGACGTATGTTTGTCATTACCAATCGAGCAACGATTTCGCTGAGCAGGAGCAGGAGCTGATTGATGCGGTCGATATTAGACATGAGGTTTAAGATAGACATCTTGCGGGAATATGAGCAAATGCGCAACATAATGAACAACTTTTCATCTACTATACCACTGGATTGCTGGTAATGCATGTGTCTATTCCATCGCTCCCTCGTTAATCCCCACCTGCTGCTGACAAGACCGCTGGTATTATCTCACCAAGCTCGTGCTCGACCGAATGCCCCGCACGAGTACAGACGAGTCGCGACGAAGCCCAGCTGGCCACAAGTGCGGCAAAATCTAGCCTATATACCCTCAAACTTCAGTCCCGCGCAAGAATGCCGTAATGTCGCGGTGGGTGGAACTTTTACGGGGTACAGTAGTCGAGGTAGTCGAGGGGTCTTACTCGTGTGCTTACGGTTCCAATAGTTGGCCTTCCGTTACGATGTCCAATTGAGCTGTCCAATTGGGATCTGCACTTCACCGTATGCTCCTTCTTACTATCACCATCACCCCCGTTCGAGCGGAAAGACGTTATCTGATTAAGTGCTCTCATCAACGCATTCAACAACGTCACTTTTGCAAACACTTGTGCCGGCATCTTGATCTGGTACACCTGATTGTCGCGACCGATGGAATTTTCAAAGTTTGATGTAATTGGTATAAATCTGCCAGCCCTCGTCGTCTTTTACATTCCGTTTGCAATCGAAGAAAGAGAAATAAGCCTGGGTTGTCGTTCAACGTCGCTACTCTAGTCCGGAGAACTGAATGAAGTTGTGATCATCGAACGTGCCCACATTACTTGATCAAGATAGCTGGTGAGGAAGTTGTCGTGTGCTGAGAGGATTTCAGTAAGCGCAATGTTGCAGTGGTTGTTGCGTGATGAAGCTTGCTGACATAGGCAACGCTCATGATTGAATAAATTGGAAACGGGTTGAAGATGAGTGCCTCCGCCTAGCTCGAAGGTATATATCCTAACTTCAGTAGATGCCGATACGTCTGCCACCTATTCGATATTGCTTCGACAGCCTTTGATCGTAGCTTCCGCATCATTACTCATTGACGAACTAGACTAGTTTGCTGGAAATCGAGTTGAGCATACTTTGCAGTAGTCCGACGAACTAGTGTCCATTCAATGACGGCATGGGGCGTCAGCATTCGCCATGGGCGCGATAGGGCAAGTATGGCATCAATTGATACCGGACGGTAATCCGACTCTACCAGACAAGGCGCGGTAGTGTCAAATGAGCTGTCCGGACGCAGATACTTGCGTGGCATGTTGTGTTGTAGCAGGCAACCGATATACTTACCATCCGAATCGACAGTTTGTCAAGGGTACTTGTCCTCCAACGTATGCAATCATGTGGCCACGCCAAGCACACACACACACACACACGGCGTAAGCGAACGCTCTGTTAGTCACGGACCAGCGCTGGCAATCAGAACCAGGTCGTATTCACGCAGTATGTGAGATGGAAATTGGGGGACACGAACGACACCGCGTGTCAGTCACCACGTCAATGTCGATGTGGCAGTGCAAGGCGACTTTGGTTCCGTCACAGTCTTGATCCCTTCGCTTTAGCACGCTTTTCACGCCTCGCAAAGATGGAGCACCTTTCGCGATGAAGCGAACAGAAGTAGCACGAGTCAAGGAGGGTGGCGAAGAGTAATGCGGTACCAGACAAGCAATGAAATCGACCTACTGGAAGTGATCATCACATTGCTTCTGCTCCATGCCGCACAATGTCATTAGCGAACACTTGCTTCAATCTTAGCCACAAATCCTCAACTTCTACTGGGGAGGGGCTTCAATCAGACCAAGCAATTAAGTGTGCCGAGCGTGCTGGCGCGCTCTCAGTCCATGACTTGAACCACGAGCCTTTTGGAAGGGAGAGGATCAATCCGAGTGCTCGAATCGGAACAAACTCAAACTGGAATCAGGCACCCACACTTAGCAACTCACGCAGCGAGCTGTCGCTGAGGTGTTTGCGCACAGCTACGAGTGCTTCTAGCTGCACGGAGCGCAAAAATTCACATCGAAGCTGTTCCAAGCGCTGCAATCCTTGACGCGCACCAGCAGCACTCACATCCAGATCCTCTTCTGCCGCCAGTCTCGGATTGATAGATTTGGCGAACCAGAACATCTTGCAGTTGCTGAGCTTCTTGAGCACCCGCATATCATCACTATGCAACTTTTTGCCAATGTAGCCTCGAATGCTCTGGCCGTGGCGGAGCAAAATCGTTCCACTTTCAATGAGCTGGAGCAGCCCCATTGCATAACTTTCTTCCTCCATCTTCCAGCGACCTTTGCGTAGGGGACACATGAGCGCGTATATGCTGTGTGAGTCAAAGCCCACGTTCAGGAACGTCGCAACCCAGTCGACCTCGCCGTGCAGATTGCGCACAAAGGTATTCGACATCAGGAACTCCTTCGATTGAAAAGCCGGCGTCGAAGGGAACGAAAACTTGAACTTCTTCTTCACGCTGGGCTGCGCACTTACAGCAGATACCGGCGCGTCAGTTGCAGCAGAAGCTGTCGTCCTGGTCACCTGTTCATTTCCACTGTAGTCTAGGGCTGAGCCATCCTTGATGGGGAAGTCAACCTTCTTCATGCCGCACGTGCTTTTGTCTTCAACATAGCGATTTTGAGACGCACACACGCTGCCTTCCTCTACAAATCCAGCACTGTGGTCACATCTCGACCGCATGCGCAGCTTTGACGTTTCGGAACAGGTCAGGCCGTACTTGGACTCGTAGCTCGTCCGACGAGGTGAGTCGTCTGGTATAACTACTCGCTGTCGCTTCTTGATACTCGTCGTAGCTTCTTTTGCAGTAGGCTGCTCCGAACAATCTGCGTGAAGGTACGATGGTGCCATCTGGCGATCGAAGTACCTGCTAGCCTGCGAGTATTCCACGGCCAGTGTTGACTCGTGGTGGATCGGCGGAACCAGCGATGAAGACTCGGGAAGGATACGGGTCGTGACGGGGTCAATATGGTGATGATTGACCAGCCGACGGTGTCCGGTAAGCTCGTGCTTTTGTCCAAGAACTGGTGCATCGAACGACACTGATGGCATCTGAATGTGCCGTGAAGAGCAGGAAAAGCGCTCGATAGACATGGGACGTACTCGCTGATGGGTGTCAAGAAGCGAGGGAGCTAACGGTTGACACGAACGAGGCACGGGAGCAGCAGCATGAACGGCCATAGTAGCAAACGCACCGCTTCTTGAGCTAACCTCTTGATGGACGGCAGGACGCATGACATTGGAGACAGCTGACTCATCCGAGAACGATATCTGGTGACCCCATGTCCGAGTAGCCGCGAAAGGCAAAGACCGCCACCTTGTCATTCCTCCCAATCCGTTCAATCGTCGACTCGGCTCCTCGCAGCGTCGGTCATCACCTTCGTTTCCTGTAACTTCAGCTACTGATAGTCCCCTCTTGCCGGCCGTCTCTCTCTCGTCCCGTGGCTTAGCGCTGTACAAAAGAGACGCGATCCGAGGCAGCACGGGACTCGTCGAAAGCGACGCGGCATCGATAGTCCGATCAACTTTGACTCGAAAGCTGTCATGTGCGTGCCACCGGTTCGCTGCCATCCAGTGCTGCTCATTCGCGCTAACGTCCATTTTGTAAGGACAGCGCCTGCGTTCGTCAAACTGAAAACTGACCGTCACGAGTTCCCTGCCCGAAGTTCCGTTATCGACCGCGGAGGTTTGCGTCCTGCAGCTGCAAGCTTCGGCGGCGTTCTTTTCGATGAAGGCGTTATCGATTTCGGGTGTCTCGACGCGATCTTTCAAAGCTGCTTCCTTGGAGGAAAAAGGACAGGAACGCGCTGATCCAGTTTATCCTCCTGGGAACGACAACCTCGTGTCCCGAGGAACGCGAGTGCAACTGTGCCAACTGCTAGCTACCCTTAGGCGGCGAGAAGCTCGATGTCCATCGGTGGTGACATTCGAGGCTCTGAGCGACACAAACGTCGGTCGTTGCGGTCGTTGAAAGAGATTGGTGGCGGTGCGTACGCAACAATCTTGCTATCGCAACGCCGTTTTACTGACCAGCGTAACTGATGTACCTACTGCCAACTGTTGCATGTGCGACGGTCGTGCATTCGCGGTTGTTCGCACGCTGGAAGCCATAAACCCACAGAAACGCGGGAGCAAATGCGATCGATCGAGCAGATACCGATGACACTATGACTGACATCCATGCGCTACTTTGGCAGAACAAGTGCTGCGATGGATGAGGGCACGAAACGGCCAAACGATCAGTTAGGTGCAGTCTGCCAGTGGTCCCTGCGCCTGGATGTGTACTACAGTTATTGGGTCTGGCTTCTCCTGAACGACCGACCTTGACAAAAATTACAGCAAAATGGATTGCGCGACCGTGGCCGAATCGCTACCGACACCTTGTCATACAGGTGGACACTTGGCAAGGCGAGAACGGCCGACACGTCTAAGGTGTTGCCACTGGCACTTCACTCTTCTGCACCGACAATCGTCTAAGAGAGAAACGATTTGCATCGCGGTCAGAAGGTTCGAAAGCGATGCCGAAGTCGGGCCAGTTTGATTCTAGCGTACAACATGTGAAAGGTTAGACCAGTGCCTCGAAGCAGGTCCGACTGGTCTGATTGCACTGGTAACCAGTAGCATGTCAATGCCATGATGAGTGTAGCATGAAGCCTGTTTTCTTCCTGTTCTGTCTGTCCCCAGATGAACTTGTTCTGCAAGAGAGAGGTGGCGTTGCAAGTGTCTCTGTGTACTTCTGTTCTGATACTGCTAGCCGATGGGATACCAAACCATTGCGGGCATGACGCTGGTCGTGTGTAGGACAACCTTTGCCATCAGCTCAAAAGATGCCGACCTAACTCCGCAGCAGCTAAGCTAGTCGTCGCTGTAAGCGCCTCGAGAAGCGCTCGTTTCCGCTCATTCTAAGCCAAAGGGCACAACCTGTGTTGATAGCAGCGGGCACAGGTGCATTGCCTCGAGATGCGTCTTCCCGCAGCGATCAAAACTTTGCGGCGTTGCAGGATATGCGGCATGGACGGTAAAGCGACACCTCAACTCTTGCTCAGCTATTACATCATCGAGCTGACACGTAACCTGTTTTGCTTTCTTTGCAAACGAGTATGTCGTGCTATGTGTTGTACGCGCATCTTCCTAATCGCAACGAACGCTGGCGTTAGCTGCTGAATTTCGTTGCGAAAAGACAGAAAGTGCTCTGATACGAGCGGGTAGCGCGCCTAGATATATACGAGTTTTTTAATAGCATTGAGTGACAATGACAGGAACCTCCCATACGAGACAACAAAAGCACACCATTTTAAAATGCTGCTTACATAGCGTTTGTTGAAGGGTGTACTGAATGGACCAACAAACGTACCTTGTTCTACCCTTCCATCGTGATTGTTGTCACGGCGCATCGTAGTAAAGACTGCCCACGACATGATGCTCAGCTCCATGCCAATTCGATGCAAGGCGGGCAGTAAAGCTGCCAATGATATTTCTGTGCTAGACGGGCGCGATGCCGATTCTAACGGCGAGCTAAACCACTCGTACAAGTGCGATATGTAGTCGACCGCGCTCTGACGCTCGATTGCGAATCTGACGGGCCATACTGCAGCATACACACACGGACTTCTGCGGAAGGCTCGCTATGAGACAGCACAAAACGTCAAGTTTTGTATCACAAATGTAAAGACCACGCATCTTCGTATTGCAGTTTCTATATTCAGATGTCAAAATAAAACGCAAGCTCGTTCGGCTGTCAACTCTTGTCCAGCGTGGCGATTCGTTGGTAGGCCTGCACACTTTGACAGAGGAACCTGATTCTGTCTTGTCAATGCATTGACATCACCCACCTTCGATCAGACAGGCTTGTGTCCAAAGCTACGCGTACCGTCCGCTCAGTGTTTGACGCCAACTCGATACTGACATTCTGTATGCAAACAGACTCAACAAGCCTCTAGAATCCTGAGGCGATGATAGCTGCAAAGTGCCAGCGCAAAAGTAGAGGATGCATGATGCGTTGACAAGGGTACTAAGTTTGTGGACGCCCTTACGAGGCCTTTTTGACAGGTAGAGGTAAATAAACGCCGGCGTGCTGATGGATGAGAAATCAAAGTACCATAGCTGCGTTCGACAAAGCTTACAAGCATGCCTCGTTCGAGTCGTTCGTGTTCGTGGCATCGATTGGATAACTGTAGTACTATCGGCACAGCTTTTTTTAGGAGGGGTGCGTCTCCATGAATAGTCGGGTGCAAGGTATAACAACTCAACTTGCTTGGCTTTCGTTCTGAGCAGTGCTGACAAGAGAGTCGAGTGATACGCTTATTAAATGCCATGCACACACACGATGAAGAAGATATTGTTGCCGATGATATGGGCTCACGTACGGGACGTTTATGCGACATTACAGGGCCAGTGTGCTTCCGTCGTGTCTGGTGCTGACTGAGCTAGGTCTGACATTGTGTTTTTCTGAGACTCATGAGAGGACGCGCTATTGCTCGCGAATGCCGTGTGTTTTACCTGAAGCTTCATGATAGTTCGACGTTCATTTTATTGGTGTTGTGTCTGTCATAAGCCAATGAAGCCGCAAATAGCGCCGGTGGCTTTGAGCATCAGTACGTGAATACGCCCCATGAACATGTCAGAAGTCTGGTGCCGCAAAAGTCGCAATGTCATTACCACATGCCATTAATTGTCGGATCGGCATGGTGTACACGCGAGTTGTGTACATTCGCCAGCAAAGAAGCCTCATTCAAGACTGATTACGTATTTGATCGCTTTGAAGATCCACGAGTATGTCATATGTGGGTAGCTATTATTACTGATTCTACTAAACGTTAAATTACTACATTTTGGGAATTGCTATTCCACCGCCCTTTTTGCTCTTCCCACTACATAGAAGGCGTGGCGGATTCATCACCGTTATTAGCGTACGCGTTCTTGTTGTGCACCTTTTTACTATCTTCACCATGCCCTTCTCTATCTCAAAAAAATGTGTAAAACGGTACATGCTTCGGTCCGATTTGTTCATCACGCAAATAGCACTAAACATGCTTACTTTAGACAAAATAGCTACAGGTACTGCTCCAAACCTGTCTCGACATGTCGCTGATATGTTGCCCATCCTTCGCTATGGTAAGTTGGTAGTTGCATATACATCTACTTATTCGTGTGTCCACATCCGCATGTACATCGTCATTCGCAATAACAACGCCTTGGACATGGCCTCTGCTTCTCCGTTTGCCCCTTCGACACTCTAGGCTGTCCACGATTGTGTCGTTGTAGCGATAGCTAGCCAGGCAGGGATTGAAGTGCAATTTGTTGTAGGAGAAGACGTGTCTGCTTCTCATAATTTGTCCACGCCGTAGTTTCCCTGCGTTAGATGGTGATGATACCTGTTCGCCGGTATTGACACTTGATGGCTTAAGTGCGACTGCAACTACGGAAGTGGTAGACTAACTAGATACGCTGATCACGATCACGCGATATCGTCTCGCTTCCCCTCAGCTTTGATGTCTTCCCATTATACACTGATGAGGGGGAGGGGAGGCCCAAGCAGACAATCACTTGCACCTCAAATTATAAGCCTTCATCGCACGATATGATGATGATAGATAAGGTGTCATCAATGTGCTCTAGACAGCTGCGATCCTTCTACAACACCTTGACTTTTGCGCTTAGCGTGCGGGCCTCCATGCTAACAACAGAATGGATAAAATGTGATGTTTTACTAAGCAAATTCAAGGGATATCTTGCCATACGGCAGTCCATTCTCGGTAAAAGGGAAAAAGCACGAGCGAGAACAAATACATTTGGAAGGCATATCACGTTTTAAGATTCTTTGTCATCGAGACAAACTATGATCGAGGATAGCTTCGTTTTTCCTACGGAATAGCGCCGCCGTAGTACCGGCTAAATGAAGACACTGCAGGGAGCTTACAAGTCGGAGCCATTGAAAAGGTGGGCAATGGGGCACATGCATCGAATTTTCGCAGGCTGATTCTAGCTGTGAGGCAAGTCCAGTCGTCAGACGTTGCCGTCGCTTTGGTGTATGACCATGCTGTGCGTATTCATAGATGAGGATGGTCGATATATCAGACGTGGTAGCTTGTGCGTATGATGCACATATTTGGTGGATGTCCTGTGTATAGGATTGCGAAATAGTGTGATCGGGCAGATCTGCGAGTACCGCAAATTTCTGTTTTTTACGGCATGTAGCGTGGAGGAATGGAAAAGAAAGGAGATTTAAAAAAACCGCCGCTTAATCACGTGAAAAGCACCACAAGCTGTGGACGATAGAAATTTGCGTTAGCAAAAATAATAAATTCCACCAATGTAAACTATTCGACTGGTTGTGAACCTGCATGAAATCATTCAAATTCATTCACGTCATGCTTATCGATCCCGATCATATCTGATGGATTTTGCACGCATAAACATGTTCATATCTTCGACCATCTATGCCGTCGACAGTCACTCTGCAAGAAAGTTAAAGTGCGTAGACGTTTCAAGCTCAGCCCTGGCAGTGTTGTTTATCGTTCGATACTGAGGATACGGTGCGTCAATCCCTTTACTCAGATCTAGCTGGTACTGACTGCCCTGTAATTTGTGTAGTCTTCGCCTTGGCAATATCGCTGAGTTTTCATAAATGAGTCAGCGCGCAGTGTAGTGCCGCTTTGCAAGGCTAAAAAATATTTAAAGAGAAACAAATCGGCAAAAGACGTGCGTATAACAGAGGCAGCAGATGGAGACTACAGTAAAGAGATGTGGTAATAATAATGCTGTCGAATGTGGTATCGCGGATGCTTGTAGACTCACATAACGGAATGCACGTTCATAAATCGCGCAATGCTAGTAACTTTTATGTGTGTAACAATACTGTTGCTGCTATCAGTAGTAGCAATGGTGTTGACCTGGAGATGCTGTTGATGTTGACCTTCAGATGCTATACAAAATCTGCCGAGGTAAACGCAACGTTGTTATCTACAGTGGTCAACAGAATACAAAGGCACGTAGCTCGATCCATTTGGTCCACAACGAATATGCAGCACAATTCACTGATATTTCACTATGCTACTTGCTCAACATAATTCCTCTTCCTGCGTTCACACAAAAAAATGACGCGTCGTAGAAAATGTGTATCCTTGTTAACATTACTGGGATGTCAACACACTTTTTATGATGAAAAGTAGGTGATGAATAACATGAATGCCCGATGTGACACGCTCAGATCACCGTCAATTTTTAGCTTTTTTTAGTTTGCTGCGACATTTGTGGAAGCATAACGACCAAAGTAATTATGTTTGCGTCGCCTCCAGCATGTGTAAATTCGGTCGTAAAGTATACATCAGAATTAGCTAACTTGTTTGACGATTTGATTCTTAAATGTATTAATCCAATTTCTTACAATATTGAGGTGCCTCTAAATTTTTTGGTGATGTGGTGCATTATTTTCAGATTGTTTCTTGTACTAGTAGGCTAATTTCAAATTTTCTGGTTATTGATTGCGCTATTTCACTTCGCAAATAAAGTATATACATAAAATGCGTACATGAGTAAATTGTATCTTCCGCGCCGTTTTGTATTGTTTGGTAGAATCGGTTTGGTGGATTCATTAAGCGTCGACATTGTTCTCACAATTGTCAAGGCATCGATCGGAAATTAATCCAATTAATGTCTTGACAACTTCGACGTCGTATTCATACCGTATCGGTGTCTTGACAACTTCGACGTCGTATTCATACCGTATCGATGTCTTGACAACTTCGACGTCGTATTCATACCGTATCGATGTCTTGACAACTTCGACGTCGTATTCATACCGTATCGATGTCTTGACAGCTTCAAGAACAAAAATAACCGACGCAATCTCGCGGTCATATTTTCCATTATAAATAAGCTTTTCATCTCGCATGAGATAAAGAAGCAACAGCGTAAAACACAACCACAGCAGATAACAAACCACAGCAAACACGTACTTCGTATTTTACAATCTTGTGCCCCATCTCAATCACATATACACTTCAGCGACTTCGAGCTTCCAATGACTCGCGGCATTTCCATCGCCTCGCTCATAATAAGAAGATAGAAACAATAAACGACTCGTGCACGAGACCAGCGACGCGCAATCTTATAGCAATCCTGTCGCGATGTTCCAAACAGCACTTGCCAGCACAATGGCTACACACGTGCACACAATCCCCACAATCACCAGTGCCTCAACCGGACTGCGCTTCTTCAAAGTATCCACCACCACAGCCAATAATGCTGCACTTGATAAGCTGAAGCTGCGTGCGTGAACACTCCTCCAAGCACCACCTTCTTCGCTGCTGGCGAGCGCCGTGATTTCGTCCGTTTCATCGTTCTCAATGCTCAACACACACTGTCCTCCACCATCTGGACCTTCATCGGTAGCAGTAGTAACAGTAGCACAGCTGCTCCTCTTGTCATCCTCTCGATGCTGCAGCTGATCTATATACGCCTCCAGTTGCTCAATGCGCTTGTGAGATTCCAGTTCGCGTGTCTTGGCACTCTCCAAGGCGGCGTCGAGAGCTTCGCAAGTTGCGCATGCCGCATCGGCAACCAAGAGCGGTGACTCGGTTAGCGAGCCAAATTGACTATCGACGTACGTGTTTTCTCCGTCAGATAAGTCCATTTCCAACACTTCGTTGTCCAAGTCAGTCAGCGAATTCACTTCTTCGAATCCAGGAACTCTCAGCTGTCCTTCATATCCGTCCTTCTCAATCGTGTCCAAAGCTGCCGCTCTCACAACGAGAGAAGTCCGTGCCGAAGCAGCTGCAGCGGCCTCCAGTGAGACAATACGCATGCGCTGACGAACAATGTAGTCTTCCATAGCATCCATTTCATCACGACTTGCTGACGCAAAAGTCTCCAGCTGTCGACGCAAAAGCTGATTCTCTCGAGAAAGCTCCATCAGCGCGCGAGCACGTTGGTCCACCACTTCATTGACCGATGCGTTCACTTTGATTCGCTTCGCACGGCTAGCAAATTTCAGCGTACTGCGAGTGTCTTCGATGTAAGTAGGTGAAGGAGATGCACAGCACACGAACAGGACGCGTGCAGCACCACTTAGTGATGGCTGCAGTATGCGTGTGAGCTTGCTATCCCGAAAGTTGACATGATCCTGCTGGCTTGGAGACTTGCTGTTGCTAAGCGCCACGACAACCCTCGAGAGCGCCAATAAACTCCTGTTAATATTACCGCTCTCCGTCGTGAGCTTTTTGCCACCAGAGCTGATAGCACGAGCGCTTTCAGAGCCGGCCAAGTCCACGAAATTCAGACATCCCACACGTACAACCTCCACGCCAGCAGCATCGTCCTCATCATCGTCACTCGGCACGGGTGACTCAAGACGCGTCTTCGCTTCGATGACGACTCTGAATATCGAGTGCGATCGACTGCTGTGCTCGTTCATGCGCGTAGCTTCCACGGCCCTCTGCTTCTCGCCATCACGCAACGCTTGCAACACTCCCCGCGCATTCGTCACTACGCGTTCCGAGTTATCTGTAAACACGCCCGTCACAGGATGTTCGCGAATATGCACCGTCGAGTTCCTCCGTTTTCCCGTTGTTGCCAAACTACTGCTGACCAACAAATCCTTCACCGTCTCATTGTACACTTCCAGATACGAGACCCGGACCAAGTACTCGGTATCCACGCGTCTCGCCATCTCATCGAACAGGTCTTTCACAGCCAACTGCACGAGTCCGTCCCCAGCGTCCGGTCTCCGCTCCTCTTCCGTCTCCACCTCCTGCTCGTGGCTCATCGTCATTCGCCTGCTTCTCAGTCCAGACCCCTGCATCGTATACGTCTTGCCACTGCTTGTCTGGCCATAGGCAAAGATCGTGCCATGAATGCCGTCTAACGCCGAGCGGGCAATGGACCTCGCCAGTCCATCGTAGATCGTCTGTGTAGAGTGCTGACCGCCATACACTTCGTCAAAAGCGTAGAGCTCTTGTCGTCGAGCCGTTTGTCCTGAGCCGGACACTGCTGCTTCCACTGTTCCTTTCTCTGCGTGCACGTTCCAAGCAGGTCGTCGACTGCTCGTCTCTTTTGCCAGCAACGGGCGAAAGCGTACGGTCACGCGCACCGTCTCGCGCTTCTCAGCGGTTTCGTGCGGCAACAGCTGCTTGTCGTCCACGTCCTGGAGCTCTGAACTGTCGCCGACGTCACTAAAGACGCCGCGCAAGTCACTCTCGAGGCTGCCGCTGCGGCTGCGACTCGTGCATTGGCTGTAGCTGTAACTGAGCCGCGATGGCCGCGCGCGGGCGAGCAAGTCGCTGTCCCGACGGCGCATCAACTGGTCGAGTTGCGGTACGAATGACCAGTCCGACGTTGCAATGGCGGAAGCGATAGAGAGTCAGACACGCGACGGGACGAGGAGTCGGTTCGATGGTGTCCAGTACTACTCGACGCCCGCACGACGTAAACACGCGCTTTTGGGATGAGGTTTTTTATGACGGTGCGATGTTTTGGCACCGAGCGGATATAGCGACACGGCGGCCGTTTGTCCATAGCCTATTTTACAGTATGGTGTTTGGTTGCAGGGACAGTGAAATGGGGAACAAATTATCGCTGTAGTCGTGGAGACATTGGCCAAGCAGATGGACATATTGGGGGCACATTCATTCTCTGCTGTATGGGTCTGCGAGATACATCATCGTGTGTCCTTCGCATCGGAGGCCACTTGTGCACTCGAATGAAGACCAGTTGTACACTCGAATGATGACGGCTTCAATGGCCGATAGCACGAACGGTCGTACATGTTGAGAAAGAAATTGGCTGCACGCCGTATTGACACGACAGTCTTGTGCCACTAAAACTGAGGGTACGCGATGACAGTGTACTTGCCAATGCCGCCCGCACGCGACGAGATATGGAGGAAGTTAGCGTCCACAGATCACGGCAACTCATTGCAACAGGCGCCGTTCTAGACATCGACGACCGGGTTTGGCCAGAGCGCAAGCGCTACTTCCAAATCGCATAGAAACGTACACGTTATGCGCAAACACTGTAATGGCGGATGTTGACGCCCTTGCACGTCTATTGTGGTCCATGGACTTGCTACAAGCAGCTTTTGACTTGCAAGCCGATATCGTAGTAGCGAAATCGTTTACAGCAATGCAAACAAACGATCGGAGCGACGTTGTATGCTCTATCATTCCCGTATGAGTAGTTTGCCATCGTAATGTGTACATTCAGCATTTCTCGTACTCCATGTGGACTGACCCGTAGTCACTTGCAAGTAGCGTCCAAGTCAGCGAGTAGACAAAGTACTAGCGACAAGTCGGACAAGTGATGAGCTGCACTACCTGGTTGTCGACTGCATGTCACGAAGCACAAACAGCTACGTCGCGATTGTCGTTGTGTCTATGGATGTTGTCAATGCAAACGCGTTGGCCAGAGTTCAGTCATTGACAATCGCGCCATTCATTCACGAGCTGACGCGTTATCCGAAGGCCGCTGGGGCTGGTTTGCAGCGCTGCTTACAAGACGGAAAACATCGTCTCATAGCAACATAAGCCACGACTGCCTCTGCGCGACTCCCCGTCATGGCCAATCGGGCCTTTCGCAAAATTGAGTGTTTGCGAAAGACTGCCAGGTCCAGGATCCGGTGGTGTCTCTGTTGCACCACAAACACACAGCAACTTCACGTTCCATACACTCTGATGTGTTGTTAGCTGCACAACAATTCAGTAGACGATGTCAACACTGATACCACCGACTCTTGTTGTTGTCACGGGAGCAAATCGTGTCAACGTATCCTCGTTCAGCAAAGTGGCTGGCTATAAGCTTTGCGATCCATGGTCAATCTTGTCACCAAGATGCGTTACTGGCAATATATGTGCTTCAATACATCTTACGCAGCGCTTAGGCTTTGCTCACTTGTCACCTCCGATCAATATGAAAGCGCTGCTTACGTTTAAAGTGACTGATATTGCACGATGAAGGATGCTACAACGGCGTTAGAATACTCGTACCTGCTGTTCAACGAATGACACGTGTCGCCCTGAGGACAGTGTAGCTCGGGCGACAACAAAACCGAACTGAGAGTAAAGCGCAGCACGTGCTAGTTGTAACAAGATGCCTCACCAGTCAGAGGAAAACAAAGGTGACTACTCAGTGGTCGCCTACCGACCACTTTGATATTCAGCTGTGCTGCGCTTTCACTGCAGCTTGTCCATTGCGACGCCCGAGAAACTGTATCGACGCACGACAATGGATGGTTCACAAGTGACAGATTACGCTACTCCATTCGACGGAGGTCTTGCTTTGCAACCAATGCACGCATAGCTGATAGATAGCAGAGGCTGCAATGCCCATGACCGTTTGTTTTGATGCAGGTAATTCTATCTCGAGAACAAGTTTCGACTGTCTGCGTACCCGTATCAAATGGTTGGAGTCGGCAGCAGCGAGATAGACTGTGCGTTGTGAGGTGTACCGAGCACAGTGTTGCCGTCGTGGTCGTGTGATGAAGCAACCATGTGATGTTGCAGATGTATTGAAGAGAAGGATGCGAGAAAAGAGAGGGGCGGCGGCTAGTCTTGCCGTGCACGCAATAAGAACAAGTGCAAAGTGCGGCCGACAGCTCTGAGCACTGCGTCTATGCAGACGACGTCGTTTACTCCTTCGCATCTCTTCGCGCGCCATACCTGAATACAAATGTACATTAATTTCTAACCTCCGATGCCATCGACGCGGTATCGTACCAGTCCATTGTTTGCGACAGTGTCACAAGGCAGGGAAATGATCGGTCATTGCAACTCGCGGCAAAACGTGTCGTCGAGAGAGAGATTGACGCGGTCGGACGCTCTGGAAGGAAGTTATCCGATTTATCCGCTGCTGCCTCTCGAAACAGCGTCCTGACAACGGTCTGAGCATGTCAGTCTCGAGGATGTCGCGGAAAAAATACACCGAAATGGAGTGGCATCGAGCTGGTTGCGGTACGAGTGGAGGGCGATCTCGACTTTGTGGCTCATTCGTGATCCCACCTGATCCGATCCAGCCACTTGTCATCTGATTGAAACGGATTACGGCCACACAGTCTCATCCGAGCGCCCGATTCTGCTGCGCCGAGGGAAGAGAGGGGTTGACCCTACGCGCAGCACACGTCTGGCGTAGGCAGTACGAATAGACACGTGGAGGCGTCGTCGCGAGCATTGGTATTGCCTCACTGACGTGGCCTCGCTCAGGTATCGTGTCCACGTGGGGCCAGCTGGTACACGATCATGACGGACTCATCGCGCCTCGAGGCGAACAGAGACTTCGGACACAACGAAGCAGCAGCTCATTCTTCTGCCCGCCTGCATCTGTCTCGGATGCACTGCACCAGCTAATGGACGAGACGTACATCTACATGTGACCTGATCACACGATCGAAAGCGATACACAACCGCTAAACTATCAGCAAACGATTCCCATGAGAGGAGACAGAATAGATGGACCACAGCAGACGCGTCGAAGGGCCGTTCCTCATTTCGCCCGAGTAACCAACACGACGTCTACGTACTACTTGTAGACCCTTTTTTTTGTGGTCGCGCGGGTCAAGTGGGTCTGACCGTTTCCGCACCTTTTCCTGCTTTTTCCCTCCCTCCTCTTTAGTTGCCCTATTCGTTCCCGTCGACACTATGGCCTCTGAGTCGGAACGCATCGTCAGCGTCCAAAAGTTGAGGTTTAGTGTCGTTAGAAATAAATATCAGCCGTTCGTCCGTCCGTCGGAGACCAGGGGACCACCGCCGACGGTTCTGATTGGTCCGCGAGTCCGCCTCTCTCCTTTGCAGCTGTTCGGTCACCGTCCTGTCCGATCCATCTCGAGCGCACCACCGCGTGATCCAATCAAGTCACGTCCGCGGCCCATCCGCACGCGCTGATTGGACGAAAACAAAACAGCCGACGGCCACGGCGGCTTCTCGCTCAACCTGCTCACTCATGTCCTGACACTCCGCCACTTCGACTGTCCCGTTCAACGCATCTGCGCCTGTAGCCATCCCACATGCACCGCCAGTGGCGACCCGCTCCCGAATCGACCTACGCGTCCCAAGCGGCGCGATGGAAACAAGGCTTCAAAGCGCCGTCGCCCCGACAGCAGCAGCAGCAGCAGTTACAGCCGTCTGTGGACCAGACCGACCTCGAGAACGCGCTGGTCTCTGAACTGTGTTCGTCGCTCGGGTCGTCGTCGTTCCCACCGCGCGAAGTGCTGCAGAAGCTGCTGCGTTACTTGCACACATTGGACCACGACGTGCGTTTGTCTACTCCTTTGGTCTCTCTTTTTTCGTCTTCTTCTTCTTCTCTCTTCTGGTCCCCTCTCTCGTCTCGTCTCGTCGATCGCTTTGCTTTGCTCGGCACGAACACTAACGCTGTTGTTGTTGTTGTTGTTGCTCGGGTGGTGCTCTTTTGTTCTCGGCAGTACGTCTGTGAGCTATTGGACGACAAGTTTGAGAGTCCAGTGTGGCAAGTCAAAGCCAAAGCGCTGTCCGTGCTCAGTGCATTGCTGAGCAGCACCGATGCCGAGTTTTACAAGCAGTACTACAGTGGACGACTGGACCTGGTGGAAGAGCTGCGGCGCGCGAGGAAAGACATGCTGCGCAAACGGGCCGACAAAGTGTACGCGTTGCTGAAAGACTGTGTGCCGACAGCAGACGGCGAGAGTGTGTTGGAGATGATGCACCGGATACGAGACGACGGAGCGCGAGATGGCGACGCGCGAGCCCCCGAGATGCAAACGCTTATGCACACGTCGCCGATCATGACGTCTCAGCAGACGCCACAGGGGCGGAGGATGAACACGAACAAGTCGTCGCATAGCAGCAGTGCACCACTGCCTAGCGCACTGCCTGCTGCTGCCGTCGAAGAAGCGGCGACGGCATTTCATTTCTTGGCGGTATCAAAGCACGAACCTCAAGCAGAGTATGTACCAGCGCAGATGGCAGCTGAGCCCTTGACACCTCCAGCGAGCAATTCTGCGTTCGGCTTTCTCTCGGTGAACGGAGGCGAGATGGACTCGTTGTCCTCGACACCGTCAGGCTCTGTGGGCCCAAAGTCGGGTGTTGTCGCACGGCCGTCTTCCCAGAATAGCGACCCGCTCGCCCTCGCAGCTCCACCGAACATGCCAGTACCGTCTGCACCGCCACTAGCAACGGACTCGTCCAGCTTTGGTTTTCTGGCCCAGACACCGGCGGCAAATGGTATCTATGCCCGTGAAAACGTTCTTCCAGCGTTCGCTTTGATGGAACGACAGGACCAACCGCTGCAGCAACAGCAACCGCGAGCAGCTTTGGCTACTGCGCCAGCACCAACGTCTGCGCTTCGACATTGCCACACGGTCTTTGATACACTTCCTCAGCCGACGCCATTTGAGCCAAGCCAGGTGGTGTGTGAACCCGAGAAAGGAGAGGTCAAGGTAGAAGAAAGCAGCACGTCTGACCCGATCCACGATGCGTTTGAAGGCATGGACGCGCACAATGGTGCTCAAGCGCTGGACTCTTTGGATGCTTACACACCGTCACGTGACTCTGCGCGCGGTGAGAATGAAAGCGTTGTGCCACAACCAACACAAATGACTGAGTCGCTGCGAGAAGTGATACTTGAGATTGACGTACCACCAGGACCCATGGGTGTGATGCTGGACCGCACAATTCCCGACATGACCGTGATCGAGCGCTTTGTGCCCTTGCCAACAGGTGGGCGTGGATATCTCGAGCTTCACCCAGCCATCTGCCCTGGCTGTGCGCTGATCAGCATCAACTCCATTATCGTCGAGAATAAAGGGCTTGTCGAGGTGGGGCCCATATTGGGTTCACTCACGAACGCCCCCAAGCTGCTGCGCTTCAAGAAGCTCATGAACAATGGCCGACCTGCGAATCCATCGACACTCCAGATGCCGTATGTTCCTCCTCCATTAGAAGAAGAGGTACACAGCTCAGTAGCCGAGAAGAGTGCCGAGAGAGAGCCTGGGTCCGAGGATACTCGCCTATCTGGAAGTTCGAGCGGCGAAGCGTTCATGACCTGTTTGAATGGATACAGCAGTGCTCTGTGCGAGATCGAGGCAAAGCTGAAAGAGATCATTCGCCGCGAGCAGGCTGGACAGCTGATCGTGGACCGTCGCAACCAGCTTGCACAACTTCATGGCAACGTGGAGAAGATCCAGACTGAGGGCATTGATTCTGTAATTTTGGGTGATCGTCGGCCGCTCAATTACGAGGAGGTGAAACAGTTTCGCTTGATGCTGGTGCACAAGGCGAATGAGCTGGCTCGGATGATTCAGAGCACAGCCATGGCTGGTCCTTCACTGTGCACGAGCGTCCCGGCATCAGGGGGAGAGAAGCAGCCCGTATCAGCGTTTGCATTCGTGCAAGAGGAGCCGAACACGACTACCAACAACGATCCGCCGCTAGGCATATCCCAGCTGCAAGGAGACTCGGGCTTTCGCTTCTTGAATGCCAATGCGAACGCACAAGTCGCTGATGTGGATGGCAGAAACGTAGTGGCGCCCGTGTCCGGACCTGTGGCCCAGCCGCCAGGACAGTCGTACGGCTTTAGTTTCCTCGCGGACAATTACATCGAGCAGCCTGTCGCGAGCGACCTTGCAAACCTGACCGTCTCCCAAGCACCAACCAGTCCGTCGTCCAGTTTCGGCGTGCTTTCAACCGCCGTGACCAGCCCGGGCGCACAAGCTGCTTCGAACGTGTTTGCAGGGCTCTCGCTAAAGACTGGCAATCAGCAAAAGGCGGGGGCAAGGCGGCCCGCAGCTCCTGCACTGTGCGACACCTTGACAAAGAGCAGTCACGGCCGACCCATGGGCCTCAGCGACCTGGAAGCGTCGCTCCGCTCGACGGCCTCGGGCAAAAGCTGCTGTCCCGTGCCGCGAGCGCCCGAGTCGGTGCCACTGCCGTCTGCGTTTGCGTTCCTGTCGACGTCCGCCACCAGTCACGCACACGGTCCGGTCGTGTTTGACAGTAGCTCCACCAGCACCGAAGCGACGTCGCCCACGGGGTTTAGTTTCCTGCGGGACAGCACTGTGTCGTCCAATGCGCCGACAGTGGGGTCTTTGCACGCCCACTCGACGCTGCACGAGCCGCCCGCGTCGATGTTTTCGTTCATCTCGAGCGACTGATTGTTGCAGCCGACGGACGGCCCCCTCGAGTGCGCATCGGCGGCACCGGTGGCGCCCAACGGTCGGTATCGCCCGAAGCGCTCCGACCCAAGTGGGGATCGATCCCATAGTGTAGTCGCAGGGTGTCTGCTGATTGGCTCCAATACACGTGCGCACGCTTTTCGTCCAATCACTTGTCGCCTCGGGCCCCCACTCGACACCGTCCGACACCATTCATCGCCGCCGCGCGCTGCCCCCCCCCGCACAGAAATGGAGTCGTCGGCAGCGCTCGAGGCCGCGACCCGCACGTTCAAAGGCCTCTCGGACGCCAAGACGCGCGTCGATCACGCCACGCGCGACGACGCGTCGTTCCCCGACCTCGCGGACCAGCTAAGCGCCCCGTCGGAGCCGCAGAACTACTTTTTTGAACCGTATGCCACGCAATGGATGCCCCAGCTCGCGAAAAAAGGGTCCGTGATCCCTCTCCCCGGCGTTGTTGCCGCGGCGCTGGACGAGACACAGACACTGGCGCTCTCGGGTCTGGTGCCCGAGATCCGCGCGGTCTGGACGTCGGTCGACGCGCGGCTGTTCCTCTGGAGCTACGCCCATCGCGGCCGCTTTGCAGCCAGAGAGTTTGATCAGGCCGTTGTGGCGGTCGGCCTCGTGGCGCGGCCAGCGGCCGGTGTGTTTACGGCCAAAGTGTCGCACGTGCTCGTGGTGGCCACGACGGTAGAGGTCGTGCTGCTCGCGGTCGTGGCCGAGAACAACACGTCCGAGACGACGGCCCACGCGGGCTTTGTCAAGCTCCAGGCGACGAAACTCAGCGTGAGCACCGACAAGTGTGTGGTCCGTCGCATCGTGACGACGCGCAGCGGTCGCATCTTCTTTGGCGGGTCCGACGGGGCGCTCTACGAAGTCGTCTACGCACCCGAGCAAAAAGCCGCGGCGGACCGCAATTCGCTCCTTGGGGCCGCGTGGACCAACGTCTCGGGTGCGAGCGGAGTCGACGAGTGCAGAAAGATTACGCACACGTCGAGCTACGCGCAGTATCTGCCAAAGTTTCTTGCCGGGTTAGCCAGTGCGCCTGGAAAAGTCGTTGACATGTGCGTGGACCACGCGCGGCACATTCTGTACGTCCTGCACGACGATGCGCTCGTGAGTGTCTTTGACTTGGGAGCCAATGGAGACGAGTGCAAGTCCGTGTGCGTTGTCAATTTGTTGGTGGATGGTGCAAAGTATGCGCGTGAGAACCGCCGGACGCGTGTCTCGTGCCCCGACGAGCGGCTTTTCCAGCCGGCAGTCACTGGAGCGTCCACTGCAATGAAGATCGTGGCACTAGCAGCTGTTTCTCCGGACGAATCGAAAGTGGTCACACTAGTTGCCGTGACGTCAAACGGCATCCGATTTTATTTGACAGCTTTCTCGCGGCGGCATCTGTATTCCGAACCTGGCAGTCAAAGCAAAGCCAAGCGCCCATCGAGACTTGAGATTCTCCACATTCGACTACCGCCCCCGGCGATCGCACTGCGCGATGCACCGCCATATCATGCCAAGGAGGGTATGCAACCAGGTTACGCTCCAGGCAAGAGCCCCGAAGCTGTGCACGTGGCATTTCATCGCAAAGGTGTGTTTTTGTGCATCGAAGGACGACGAGATGAACAGGATCAACTTGTGGGTATTGCGTATGACCCCGTCCGCACCACAGCGCTTCCTGTTCAAACAGCTTTGGCGGCAAGAAAGCCGACAATCCGCGAGTCGGTCTCACTAGACACCTGTATCGGTAAAGTCGTGGACATCCAGGAGCTGGATCCGCACACGAGCGACGGATCTGATTGTGCATGGATGCAGCAGATGGAGGCTGCAGCAGCGAAGGGCCCGAGCAGCGGTAGTAAGCGGTCGTTTGACGAGATGTCTACCGGTATCTCTGCTGGCAGCACTCCTGAGAACGCGCCTGTGGTTGGCGAGATGGCGTTGATGTACTCGCAGCCATCTCGTCACTTTCTGTGTTTGAGCAATTCGGGCATTCAGGTTTTCAAGAAGATCCGGCCACTGGATCAACTCCATCGCGTACTTTTGCTTTCTCGAGGACACGAGCTCAAGGCTGCGCTCCTTCCGTTCATACGCTGCTTCGGCGAGGTCCAAGTTGTCTGTATGCTGATTGCACTGGCATGTGGCGTCCCAACCGATCCATTGGTCAGTGAGACCTCCACGGCTGCTTCGCTGGTTGCGCCGCATCGGGATGGTTCAGCAACGATGAAAAGTGATGATTACATCTATTCAGCTGCCGTACAATCTATTTTTGAGATCGCTCAAGGTCCTCCAGACAACAAGCCTGCAGAGCCCGCAGGCACGTCCACGGCCGTCGGCTCCTCTAGCACAACGTGTAGCACACGCATTGTGCTTACGACGGAGTTTGGCATGACATACCAGCATGACGGTCTCGTCGCGTTTGCTTGTCGTGTGCTACGTCCGCTATGGACAACAACGACACTCGGCCGGCGTGTGGTCACTCGCGTGCCTGATAACAGTACGAATTGTTCCACTTCATCCGCCAATGCACCTGCGCAGATGACGGGCTATGAGACTGTCCATTCCCCCGAAAAGCTGGATGAGATACGTGAGATTTTGTTCCAGCTGAGGCAATTGATGGAAAGCGCTGGCCCGTTTGCCGTGTCAATTAGCGGAGGTGCCGCACTCGAAAACAATCCTAGCTTGGACGGTATCGTAGACGAAAATGATGGATCTGGACTATCGCGCGTATCGGAACTCGTGGAGCGTCACCAGAAGTCGCTCAGCGAAGACCAGCTGAAGCGCGAGATGCGGTATAAAGCCGAGCAGCGGTCCTTGTATTATCTTTATCAGGTCGTGCTGCGTAGTATCGAAGCCATTTCTCTCTTGCGGATCGCGCAAGATTACAAGGTATCACTGGAGGAGCCTCTTGCACGCCTTAGCTTCAGCGATTTTGTGACCACGAAGGATGGTTTATTGGCAGCTAAGACGATGACAAAAGCGCTGATGCGGGGCCGTAATGCGAACAACCAGTTCTTGATCAAGCAATTACGCGAACAGTGTCCCACATACTTTTCTGTGTCAGATTTGTGGCACTACCAAGGCTACCGAAGCTTGTCCGATGCTAAGCTTAGTGGGTCCCCCGAGGCTCGCAAAAGTCTGTTGAGAGAGTCTCTGGAACAATTTTTGAACTCGTGCCACATGTGGGACACCGAAGATTGCTTGGATGTGCTGCAAGGCATTTGCGAAGATTATGCGTTATTGAACTTTTACGAAGGCGTGGTGAAGCTCTCGCTCGCCTGCGCGAAGCACTTCCACGACGCAGCGGCTTCGGATCTGAGCGGTGTCAAACAAACCTGGAAACGGCGGTGCTTTGGCTGCATTTTACTAGCACTTCAGCAGCTTTTGGGTGGAGATAAGAACGGTTCATCTCGCGCTATGGCAAACGGGGCTAGTCCGCAAGCTGTGGAAGAGATGGTGACGCTGGATGACGATACACGGAACAAGTGCGTGGAGGAATTGCTACACTTTGCGCTGGCTTCTGAGGACGATAGTTTCCACAGCCTGCTGTACACTTGGTTGTATGAGCATGGACACTCTCACGTGCTGATCTCAGTTCGTTCCCCGTACATTGAAGAGTTTTTGAGACAGAAAGACCAGGATCTGCTCGTAAAGTTATACATGGAACAGCAGAAATATCTTGAGGCAGCCAAGGTGTGGTGGGCGCGTGCCCATGAGGATACATTGGATGAAGATGCGTACGCCACGTCTTCCGCCCGGGTAGTTTCGAGCGACCCGGATATCGTCAAGCGTCAATACTATGTGTCGAAGTCTTTGGGCTGCTTGAAAGGCTTAGACGATGTAGGTGAAGCAGCAGATGCCATTCGAGAAGTACGCGACGTGCTCGATGTACTGCAGCTACAGGTGCGTGTCCTGAAGGCACTTGAGCAAAAGGTCATTGAGATGGAGACGTCGTCGTCGGCGAATACCAAGAAGCTACAAGAAAGCAAGACGGATGTGCAGCTTCTAACCTACAAGCGGTTTGATGCGTCAACACTATACAACCGGTTTGCGTCGAAGCACGACATGTGGACCGAGTGCTTACATATAATTCACGTGTGCAAGTCGGAGGAGGCAGACGTGATCGCCGCGCTTTGGCGAAAGATCATTTTTGATCTGGTGCCTCAATCTTCGTATAATGCTGCATTCAATGCATGGCGGTTGGGCCAGCGTGAGAAAGCCGGGTTGCCTGCAATGTCCAGCACTAGTAGCGGAGGTTCCTCTCTTGAGAGCGGAAATTGGATTGGTCAAATGCAATGCAAGATTCTGCGTCTGGGCAAGTCGCTCTTCTTTGAAGGCAACGATACACACAGCGGCTCAGTCGCTAGTACTTCTGGCGTTGTGTTTCCAGTGGAATTCCTGGCCGACGTTTTGGAGTGGATTTCTCTGTGGTACATTCGGTCAAGCGGTGTAGGCACTTTCACTGGAAACGGCGCCTCGGCTTCGGCTATCAACGAGACGACATTCAATTGGGTACTCAAGTTGTTCCTGGATGTTGGCGTGCCTCACCGGATGCTTTTGGGCACCTACGAGCAGCTCTACCGCGCGCAACCGGAGCAGCCGTACCGCGAGGGCTGGGCACTACACTTGCTGCAGTCCATGCTGGCGATTATTACCAGTTGGAAGAAGCACGCCACATCTCCGCGTGCTGGCAAGGACCAGTTTGCGGAGTTTGCTGCTTTCTGTCCAAACATCGTCGACCTCTGCGACGGCTTTATCACGGACCTGCGCGCCACATCACAAGGTATGTTTTGGATCTTTTGTGTTTGTTAGGCCTGTGGCTTGCACTGACCTTGTGTCATCGTCATTGTCAATTTGTCTCTCTCTCACAGACGAGAACGGAAAGACACCGACGCTGCTAGAACGGTTCCGCCGCGTCAAGGATGAACTGATGAACTCCAGAACTCGCATGTAGACATTTTGACTCAATAGAGCGAGCACAAGCGACAACTTAGGCAGGACACTGCGATGCAGCGTCAGTAAGTTCCGGTGCTGCTCACGAGCACTCGAGAAAGCAAAGAAGCGACGAGCATTATGATCGTGTCGACGATGCCAAGACGAACGAATAATCACACGTGTGTCTCTCCGACCGTCGCTGCCGTCGACCCAGTTTCTGCAGCGAACTAGGCAAATCCAGCGACTTGTCCATCGGTTGATAGCCGGTTTCGATTCTGCCGCTCGGCGATTCAAAGTTATTCAGCACACTTGTGCTACAAGACCAGCGAACGGTCACAAACGATCAGCAAAGCCCTTGAGTCCGTTGTCCGAAGCTCCTTGAACTGGTCCTCGGACACGTCCTCGACTTCTCGATTGATCATCATAGTGAACAGGTCCTCAACTTCTTGATTAGGTATCATAGTGACACGTCCAGCTCTGGCCACGATGTACCAGGACGTCACAGGTGTCACTGATTTGCACACGACCAGATGTACCTCATCTCACACCGATTGATCACGGATGATCGCGACTGTAGTTACAACGATCGATCACGTCTTTGGCCTTCATAAGGAGCTGGTGCGCTGAGCAACGAGTCTATGCGTAATGACGTCGCCCATTTTATCGATAACGCTGGTCGAGGACTATTCACCGCGCATTAACGGCACGATGCTGAACGTCCAGCACATTATTCGAGTTTCAGTCAGCCATTATCTTTGAAATCTCAGTCAGCCACCATCGTTAAAGTCTCAGTCAGCCACCATCTTCCGAGTCTCAGCAGCTTAGTCGTTTGTACAACGTAATGGAAAGAACGTGTTTGCGCGATGACTGAGCTCTACATTCTGCACGTCGCGACTTAGCAGAGCGAATCATCGAGACGTTGTCGCTAAGGATTCCAACAAGCTGAGCCACAGCGTCATCATTACATTCAGTGGCGAGAAAAAAGACCAACGACAATGTCACGTCTTGCGTTGCACGGTACGAACGAGCCAGTTCTTTCGATGCCGACCATTTGAACAAACGTTGCAATCCGCTCATAGGCTCAATTAGTTTTCTTCGAGCACTCCCAACGCTGTCTCGCGACAATGCTTCCGATCTATTTCCATTGTACAACAACATGTTCTAGTCGACTAGAGGCCGCAACATTACCTCACACTGCCTTTGCACTCGTACAAGAGATACTGACAGTAAAGAGCGGCACTTTTCGACCAGCGTGGAACGCCATGAGGTTTAACCTCCCGCGTTTGCGTTCCAACCGGTCAATTTGGAATTTATTTTGTTTTTCTGTCAGAAAAAAAGCGACTGTCGTCAATTGTAACAACCTTACACTCTGTTACCTGTCACATCTTATATCCTGACCGCATCTACCACTGCTCTTTCGTAAGTTACCGCGTGTCCGCGACCGAAACGCCCGCTTCGTCCTTCTTCTCTCCCCGACTCGCTGCCGCCCACGAGAGACGCGATTGGTTTTGTACCCACTGTATACCAAACGCTCTTCGCCACCACATTACACCACACCACATTACACCACAACGGAACAAGTGGCCCTCTTGCCATGTCGGGGGTACGCGCTGCTGCGCGCTGCGTCCTCAGTGCGTCCCGGCGGTCGCTCCAATCGCGCGCCTTCATGTCCACGCGTGCGCCCGATCCGCTGTTCCAGACGCCATCGTTCCCCATGCCCGAAGACCCGTTGCTGGGGCAGGACAAGTACTTGCGCGCGGATCCGTCGCACCTGTGGAAAGTGGGCTCGTTCCCGCTGCAGAGCGGACCGATGGACGACGAAGACGGTGACCTGACGTGCTCGGAGGACCTGTGGGACACGTCCGGAATGCTCAGCGCGCTGCACGACTCGTTGCCGCTGCGTGACGATGCCAGCGGCCGCAAGAGCGACGACCTCCTGCGGCAGCTCGAGGGGTACCTGGCGGACAGCGTCGTGAAGAAGCGGCGAAAGAAGATGAACAAGCACAAGTGCCGCAAGCGCAAGAAAGCGCAGCGCATGCGCACGAAGAAGAACTGAGAGGCCGCGCGGCGCGGACGGCGAGTGGGGGGATCCACGAGAGGAGACGTTTGCTGCAGCGGATAGAGACGACCACTAAGTGCGGCAATATACCCTTTTCGTGGCGATGGCGGGGCGTTGTGCGGTGTGAGTTTGATCGGCACGTGGTCTTTGGTTGCGTGGGTTTGACGCAATGCGTAGTCGGACGACGCACAGGTGTGTGGGTGACAGGAGTGTCGGGCGTGCAGATTGGACGTGGCGACTCGTACCTGGTTGTGCCTCGAAGCCTTCTGCTTGTGGTCATTGTGGCGCCCACTTGGTGCGATGAAAGTGGCAGTTGGTGTTTGCTCTGCTCACATATGTGTGCGTAGCTGAGTGACGATGAGCAGTGACGTCGTGTTCAATTGAGAACGAGAGCGATTGCGCACAGCCGTCGCTGAACGAGGTCTCGCACGTGACGGAGCTTTCTCTCTCCATCGACAATTTCAAGCAGGTGAGCAAAGTGACGGTAGTCAACGTCGGGTAAACATGGACTGTACCTGCCGAGCGACAACACGACCACAACTGTAATGTACCAGCAGATCGCTGTTGATCCTGCCAATCCATCCTGCACGTCACAAGTGCTAGTTACATGTTCGACTGCTGGCCCACTGCGACTCCAACTCGTACACGAGACGAGAAACCCGAAAAGGGTTGCCGTTGGTTCCGAGCAAGCGTTCGTCTTCGGAGAGAGCTTCAATGCTGCTGTCTGAAAAGTCTACGAGCCTCAACCCGCAACAAGATTAGCCAACGGTCACCATGCTTTGCAAAAACTCAGCTTCAGTCAAACGTACGCTGTCGGATCTGTCGTGACGTCAAGTGGCCCCTAGCTTGTCTGAAGAACAGCTTTGCACAATCCAGCTTTCCGAGCTCGTCAATGCAAATCGTTTCTGTCGGCAAAACTCCACCATCGATGTGCAGCTTTTCGGTCGACGTAAGCAGGATCTGTGTGTGGAAAGAGAAGAGGGTATCAATCACTGGGATCTGTGCTTTGAAGCAATGTAGACCAACCAACCTGGACCCACGAAAATGCCCGCACGGTATTGAGGACAAACATCTCGAGTGCTGAAAGTACGACGTCGCAGCCGTCCAGAACCACAAGCGTAGAAAGATGGTTTGCAATACCCGTTCTAGAAGAAACATATCACCATGAGTCTGGGCGACAAGTTACTCGCGTCCAACATGCAGAACTTACGCTGGAAGGGAGCGTAGAAGACCTTCGACATCCCGCATTACCATTTCCAACGCATCCTCTTGCTGAATGAGCTGTGTCGAGCCTTGGCGTTGTGGACCAACTAGTGTAGACGTGATGCCATTCTGGATATACTCAACCAGCTTGTTGACAGCAAAGTAATGCACTCCATTCTGATAGCTTCTTGAGCGGTAGAGCGTTTTCGAAACATGAACAGCAATCGACGTTTTTCCAACGCCTCGAGCTCCATACACGTTACAAACTCGAACTTTTTGAGTCAGCGCTGATTTGATCTGAATCGCCAACAACGCGCGGATTAGGATCTGCTCGGATCAAGCTAATTACGTGCAAGTCTAGCGTCACCTTGCTGACTATGACGTCTCTTCCTAGAAAATGCGCTGATAAGACGGGAATGAATTGTCCGTTCAGCAAGATCGTCACATTCTTGTCGGTCACCGCAGGTTTTGCTGGAGGAGAACCGATCAAAACGCTATGCTGTCCCAAAGGTGGCAGCATTTCGCAGATTTGCTCCGATGGCCGCATGATAGGCAGCAGGTCGTTCAGCGCTACAAATTCAGCCATCATGTAGCTCTTCTTGACATCAAATCCTTTTAGAAGGCCTGCAAACAATGACCTTTGTATACACGAAAAGACGTGAGGTCAATTTGTTCCTCCATGTCATACGGCACAAACAATTACGTACCTGATGAAAGCAGCAACTCGCAAAGAGTGTTTACTCGCAGACCTTAGATAGCAAACGTGAGAAGCGCCGCATTCTGCAAGCAAGCAAGCTGAAAGCGACAAGCAAAGTGTGATCAGGAAACGGCTTGGAGGCCATTACCGCGATTACTATCCTTACCGGGCTCGCGCGATGGCGCAATGACGATTATAAGCTTTTGCTGTGCGCTCTTCACTGTTTCAGCATGACTTTGGAATGAGTATAGCTTGTAGATTAGTGTGACTATGAATCCTCACCCACCAGAGAAGAGCTGCGACAAGTCATACTTGTCTAAACACGCCGACAGGCCATTTGGCGCATCAATAACCAAGTGACCTTCATTTCCTCCACCGATATAAAATATCACGTCACTGCTATCGTGCAGAGCCTCATCAATGGATCTCATAGTAGCGCGATGACTCGACGACGCCTATAGAGAGAAAGACTATGTCAGAAGAACCGTGGCATGACTTCATTTTTGAGCTGCACCACACGTACGTCAAACGTAGGAATCTGTGCAAAAACTGATAGAACTTCGGACAGCTCTTCACGGTGGTCATAGTCTGCTTCCTACACGAGTTCGCACAATCAGCAACACGCTGCAGCAATTTGATTGATTCACGAAGCTACAAACCTCAAGTGGATGGCTGGACTCAGACAAGTGCTGCGCTGACCGGTCGGCAAACAGAGCTGTCTACAAAGACAATCAGCTGTAAACCTTCGTGACACTGTAGCAATTCACCAGATATTGTTACCCACACAGCGTATATGTCGCGACAGCACCGAGACTTCCTGCGACGTTTTTGCATTGCTTGCTTCTGTCCGTTTTGTCGTCAAAGACTGGACTTCAGTAAGGGCAAGTGAATCAGCGGGAGTTTGGTGACACATTTCCTGGACGATGTCTCTAGCTGGCGAGGAGCGGGAAGACACAATGGCGGACTCCTGTACTGGTGACAGCCCGTGCCGATCGCTCGATCCCGCTAACTCACCAGAAAAATTATCGCTGGGTTTGACGAATCGACCGTCACGTCTGCTTTTTTTCCCTATCTTTTTGGTGTGTTCGGGTGGCGACTGCGATCGAACTAGCTTGTACTCGAGTGACACATCATCCTATTTCAGAGCAACCATTACCAGCTTGCCATGGTCAGGCATGTACACAACTCCGTCAGACAACGTATGCGCACCTCATCCTGGTGTATCTTTAGCAAAGTGACGATATCGCCAAGCCCTAACTCATGCGTTTGACCATTTTTCAGCTGTTTTCCATTGACCCATATTCCATTAGTGCTCATGTCTTGGATTCGCACCGTGACTCCCATTGCGGGTGAACCATCGTGTGACGACATTGGATTAACGTGAATCATGCAATGTTGTCGACTCAAGCGCGAAAGCATTGCGCCACGAATGCTATCACCGAAAACTTCCTGAAATTGACTTCGACCGAGCACTACAGGACTCGACTGCTGCACCAGCCTTATCGTGAGCAAATTAAGCAGATCCATTCGATCACGCTCGACTTTGCTGAGACTCTTGGTAAGTCCGTCGCAGAGAGTAAATACAGTCGATTCTTCCAGGTCCTTTTCCGTAACAGACAGTTCTTCCAGTCTTTCCTGCGAAAACGACACGTCGAGGTCAGGAATGTCTGGGTCGGGAATTCCAATGAGCTCTTCATCACTGGATACGTCATCAGTATGACCCGACTGCAGCGGGGCGCGGGAAGCACTGGGCAGCACCTCACTCGCTTCGAGCAATGGCGTCTGGACATCTTCTGTTGCCCCGAGGCCACATTGTTGACGCACGAACAACAGCGGTCTTTCCTTGACCAGCTGCTCGATGGCAGGCGGTTGTACCTGCACAGGTACGCAGCACATTAGCCCATTGCCGTAATTTCCAAAGTGCGCTCGTGTACATTATCGCTCGTGTTTGACAACAGAGCGTACGTACTGCAGCAGACGTGGCAGTCGGTATCGCACACGGCCGAACTGTCGGTATCCCCGACGCAATTCCAGTAGCAGTGCCGTCGTGCGCCAGTGGTCCCAACAATTGCGACAGCTACAGCCAAAACAGCACATGAACATCATCAACGAGAGCGCTCTCGATCCCTCGTGCCAATCAGACGAGCGGACGATCAGACGATCAGCAAAGCGCGGCTGTACCTTCGGCAGCGCCCCCTCAAACTGCAGCTGCTTCTCCACACGTCGCATGGGCGACACCCCCCGCGCGGCGTTCGTTGCCACGCGGTCAATCGCTCCGGGACTCGATCGCTGCTGCTCGTACAACGCAACAGCTGCTGCAAGTTGACTCAGCGCTTGTATTGGAGCACCGACGGGACTTGTGTAGCCACTTGGGCCTGTCGTGGCCGCTACGAATGCCTGAGACGGCGTTCTGGCTGCCTCTGTATCGCTCGTCACCCGCCGCGACACTGGCGAGAGCGCGTGCGGGAGCGCAGTGCCCGTAACGGCCACGTGGGACTGCATTGCGTCCTGCGCTTGTGCTCCTCGGCGCGTCTTTCGCGTCTCGGAGACGCGTCCGCAGTCGGCATCTGATTCGTCGCCTGCAGCGGTCGCGGGCAAGTGGAGCTGCGAGTCGCTGCCGCTTACGGTCGCGGACGGGACGGGCGGCGAGGACGCGTCCTGTCCGTCCGTGTCGTCGCGCGGTCGTTTGCGGCGTTTCGGGACGCTGTCCATTGTTTCCCTTTGAGGAAAGAGATGTGAGGCCGCGTGCGTTCTCTGCTGGAAGGTCGACCATCACTCTGGAAGCATACGCAATGCAAGTACAACGAGCGATGGAGAGTTCAACGTGACAGGATAATTATTTATCGAGACGTGCGGTCTCCGACGAAAAGATATGTTTTCCGTGCCGATGCGAGTACCTTTACCTGCTGAATTTGATTATGACGCGAATCTTATGCAAAGCTGATGGTGCGTGTCTGAGCATGATAGTTGATGAAACGACCTACAGCAACTACCAAAGCTATGCACAGAAGAGGGACCATTGACGTGTTATTGTCATCAGATAAACTGTAAAACAAGGATAGCAGCGAAAGATGGGTAGATACGATTATGGCTAAATGAGCAAAAACATGAAGATGAACCAAAAGATTAATGAAAAATGCTGGGCCAAATAGCTTAATCAATTTAGAAATGAACAAGTTAAGATACAATCATCAGAAAATCCACACGAAAATAGTCACTCGATGCTTCATTTGTAACTTAAGGATATATTTATGGACATGTTGCAAACAATGCTATAAGCTGGAACCAAGAAAATTTACTTCGCCGTTTGCGCGATATGCAATAATTCCTTCCCCCTTCTACAAGCAATTGGGACAAACATTTACTTAAAAACTACATGCACTTTATTGATGGCAGACTCTACGAGGTTCTTTGATCAGTGCTTATATATTTACCATGTGGAGTTCTATATACTTTAGTAAATTAATGTGATCTGCTACCACAACACGTCAAAACGATCTTTTGTGAGGGCGCTGGATCGTTTCGTACCACAAATTCTAATGTTAACGGCCCACAGCAGGTAGCTGTGGACCTTTGTTGATGTACTGTTTCGGTAGTACGATGGTCGCTCGTGCAACCACAATACTTTACTGTCCGTTTTGTTTTGTACGTAAGAAATCAAGTGATCGAACCTTTAACCAAGCAGTCACATAAATTAGTGTATTGTCGACGCTGCATTTCAAACAGACCACTCAGGATGAATTCGAAGTTGTCAGCAAATGTATTGTTCTATATTAAATGCACTTATTTGCATATATAGTAGTTTTATAATTTTTTGAAGGCAGGTGTGCATCAGTATTGAGGAAGACGTTTATATTGACACTGTTTTATTGCATGTCAAATAACTTCTCTTTTCTGGTGCCAAATTGGCCACGGTCTGTCGGGCTGCCAATATCCCGGGTATATAAAGTAATGGCAAACATTCGCATAAGCACCTGCACTAGCACTATAGCTTTCATGGTAGCTATCGATTGATAAACATTCCATAAGTTGTTTGTCGGGGCGTCATGTCTTGCTGCCTCGAGACGTTTTCATATGAAAACTGCGCTGTCTAGGCACCACCATGAATATATCGACGTCACCTCTTTTCCTTCACAACGATACCGCCAGTTAGGCACCTACGAACAATAATACTAGCACATCATAGAAGATAATTGAACGGGTTAGATGCGACGTAATTGTGCTATTAAACGACATGAGCACTGCGAAACACCAGTTCGTTATATTATGGTAGCATGAATGAACATTATTTTTTTAATTTTGTTCAGCTTTACGTGCATTGTCCTATTTGCAATAAAAAGACATCAGGGATAAACCAGATTGGCACTGTTTTGCGGGTCAATATTAGAGCGCGAACAGTATGGACGAAATAAAGTAATAGTAATACTTAAAAAGTATAGCGCAAATATTTCTAATGAGGCAAGAGAGCTGTGTGGATCGTGTAGACCTGGGGATGGGAGTCTACGTGGAACGGAAGGCAGGCTAATTGCAACGCAAATGCGAACTCCAGAAATTGGTCAAGTGATGTCAGGTAGACGAGTCTGCAGTAATTGCCACTTTTTAGTCAAATGAGATGCGCCGGTTTCGAAGTATCTTGACATCTTCCTCTTTTTATGCAAACGCAATACCACTTATTGTGCTATCAGACCAAGATGTCAGTGACGAATTGGCTCAGTAGTAGGATGTCGATCATCGTTTGGAGGCACACTGTCGATGATGAGCCGTCTGCTTGGCATGCATTTTTGTCGTTTTCTCAGAGTTGTTGAAGGGCTTGTTTCAAGCTGTGGAGGCACAGTGCTATCCTCGAATGATACTATGATAAGGAAGGCTGCAAAAATGCCGTTCGCTTTCATGCCAGCTGGCTGGCCGATACTTTCGACCATATAGTTAGCGCACCACGTGTTCGTAACGTCGAGAGGAAGAGTAAACAACAATTAGACTGGATGCAATCGCCATTTGGTGAGAGCTAAGGGAGAACGCGGGCTGTTCGTCTTATCGCTTCGAATGACGATCCGCAGAGCCCTTTCCAGTACGCGGCCTTGCACCAGAGTTTGGCAGGTGTCGACGCCGTAATTGTACAGGTAAAATATGTTCGCATAAGGCCAATTCTTTTCTGGCCCGGTTGAGTGAAATAGAGGTCCGTTTTCCGCCAAAACGCAATGCACACTGTGCGCTCTCTTGTACCGAGGAGGACCCTTTGTCTCTAAAGTGCGCAAGTCCTCCGCCCACAATGGGTCCGTTTTGCACACTGTTGCTAAAAGAACGCTCTCTCAGCGCTATTTCTATTCATCTAACACAGGTGTTCTGACAGCCCGGTCCCTATTTATCGATCAAGGACCCCGTTTCGCCCCTTTCAACACCCTATTTTTCCCCGCGCCTTCGACCGCTTTCTTGCCCACACGTTATCCCCCACGACACCCGCTCCCGTCCCCCGCGACGCCATGTCCAAGCGCCGACTGGCCGAAGAGGCCGCAGACGAGCGCCACATCATGCGCGTCATGCCGCTGGGCGCCGGGAACGAGGTGGGCCGCTCGTGCATCGTGCTCAAGTTCAAGGGGAAGACCATCATGCTCGACTGCGGCGTCCATCCGGGCTACTCGGGCCACGGGAGTCTGCCGTTCTTTGACGGCGTGGAGGCCGAAGAGATTGACTTGTTGCTGATTACGCACTTTCACATTGACCACGTGGCGGCGTTGCCGCACTTTACCGAGAAAACGAACTTTAAGGGGCGCGTGTTCATGACGCACCCGACGAAAGCTGTGATGCAGATGATGTTGCGGGATTTCCTCCGCGTGTCGAACATTTCCGTGGACGACCAGATTTACGACGATAAGGACTTGAACAATTGTGTTGCCAAGGTCGAGATTATTGACTTTCACCAAGAGATGATGCACAATGGGATTAAATTCACGCCGTATAATGCCGGCCACGTGTTGGGTGCCTGCATGTACCTTGTGGAAATCGGCGGTGTGAAGGTGCTTTACACGGGCGACTACTCGCTTGAGAACGATCGCCATCTCATGGCGGCTGAACTGCCCGCGTGCTCGCCCGACGTGCTGATTGTTGAGTCGACCTATGGTGTGCAAGTGCATCAGTCAGTTGTTGAACGGGAGGGACGGTTCACGGGACAAGTAGAGGCAGTCGTACGTCGTGGCGGACGCTGTTTGATCCCAGTCTTTGCTCTTGGCCGCACACAGGAACTGCTTCTGATTCTTGACGAGCACTGGCGGTTGCATCCAGATCTGCAGGACATTCCCATCTACTTTGCATCCAAGCTGGCTGCCAAGGCTCTGCGCGTGTACCAGACGTACATCAATATGATGAACGACCGCATCCGCAAGCAGATTGCGATATCGAACCCATTCCAGTTCGAGCACATCTCGAATCTCAAGAGCATGGAAGACTTTGATGACTCTGGTCCTTCGGTCGTAATGGCGAGTCCTGGTATGCTGCAAAGCGGTGTCTCGCGACAGCTCTTTGAGCGTTGGTGCTCGGATAAGCGTAACGCCTGTTTGATACCTGGGTACGTGGTCGAGGGAACACTCGCAAAGAAGATTCTCTCGGAGCCGACGGAGATTGCTGCGTTAGACGGACGTATCATTCCGATGAACTGCACCGTGGAGTACATTTCGTTCTCGGCTCACGCAGACTTTGTGGGCACAAGTGGCTTTGTGGAGAAGCTCACGCCACCCAATATTGTGCTCGTGCATGGTGAGAAGAATGAGATGATGCGTCTTAAGTCGGCATTAAACAAGAAGTTCAACGATCCTAAGATTTACCACCCAAGTATATTCACGCCAGCTAATATGCAGGAGATCGTGCTCGAGTTCAAAGGCGAGAAAATTGCCAAAGCAATTGGAGACTTGGCAAGCGATCAGCCGAAGAATGGCAAGGTGATTTCTGGTCTTTTGGTGGAGGTCGATTCGCAGACGCACTTGATGGACAAAGCAGATCTCTCGACGTACACAAAGCTCATTTCTGGCAGCATCACGCAAAAGCAGCACGTACCGTTTGAGTATAACTCATTCGGTGTGCTGATCACTTTTATTCGTCAGATGTATGAAGACGTTGCGCATTTGGAGGAAGAAAACCGGGTCGTGGTGTGCAAGCAAGTAGTCGTGACACGATGTGCTGGTACCAAAAGTGCCACCGAGAAGCTTGTTGTTGAATGGACGTCTGCGCCGACTGCCGACATGATTGCAGACTCAGTGATTGCACTCGCTATGCATGCACAGGCAAGCCCGGCAAGTTTCAAGCTGAGCGGCCAGCCTACCGCTGCATGCCCACACGATCACTCGAAGAAGAGCGACAGTTGTGGCGACGCTGTAAATGGTATGGATGGTGGTTTGAAAGTCGAACAAGACGGCAGCTCAGTCATGGAAAGCACGGGCACTACTGACGAGTCTGCGCTAGAGTTGCCGGTTGCTATGGACGAATCTGCGTCAGCGCCGTCGTCCGAAAAGGACGACACCAAGCCAGAGCTGTCGGCTGAGAAGGACGACACGAAGCCAGAGCTGCTGGCTGAGAAGGACGACACGAAGCCAGAGCTGCTGGCCGAAAAGGACGACACGAAGCCGGACATGTCGGCCGAAATGGATGGTACAAGGCCTCAGCTGCCGGCCGAAAAGGAGCAAACGAAGCTGGAAGAGGAGCAAACGAAACCAGAGCTGGAACAAGCTGCGCGGGAGTTAGGTGAGGCGGACCAAGATGCGTTGAACTTGATCATCTTGTTCCGGCTCCTGAAGGACCAATACGGCGATGTTGACTTGGATTTCGAAACCAACAAGATCCACGTGCGAACCCCGAGCGGCCTTGACGCCGTGGTCGACCACGCCTCACAGAACGTCGAGTGCAAGGATGCTGCGTTCAAGCTAAAGCTGGAATTGACGGTCCACCGCATTGAAAGTGCTCTCAAGCCCATTGCAACGTCGTGAAAGAAAAGCTTCTTTCGGACCGTGCACTGATGCCAAGATAACCTGGCGTGAAAGCAGCAAGCCTTCCTTTGCGTCACCGTTTGACGACACACCTGCTGTGCGATTGTCGCCGTCGCTTTGACGAACTATACTCACCACATCCTAATGCAATTGACCCACCTTGATGCTATCGCGACTCTACTCTTGTCTCGGTACCTACCAACCTACTGCGAGGTCACCACCACCTACTGCTGCTTTTCCTTCTGATCGCTTCGATCGTCGACCTCGCTCTTCTGGGCCCGCAAGCGCGCCCTCGCGGCAAGCACCTCGTGCATATTCAGCTCGCTGCCATCGCTTGCAATCACGGGTTCAACTAGCGCTCGACGAAAGTGCGTCGAGCCGCGTCCAAACGAATCGTTCTTCTTGCGGATCTCCATGTCCTGGTCAATCGACACGAGCAGCGTTGCGCCTGCCTTGCCTGGCTTCACCTGTCGCTTGGGCAGCCGAATGTCCGTGGGAAAGTTTTGCGTCACGGGGTCATAGCCAAATCCACGCAGCGGCAGGTTGGCCGTCGTCCGAATAAACTCAAACTGCTCGTCGGAAAAGTGGCGGAACGAGGCACCGATTTTGCCACTGCGCGGCTTGTACGGCCCATCGTGGTCGCCACTAGTGGCCACCACGTCCCGGATCCGCTGTTCCCATGTCGTGCCTTCCAACGTCTCTTTGCCAGTGAGAAAGAGAAACACCCGACGCAGTGTCTCTTCGCGATGCAGCAACAGGTTTTCGTAGCGCACGACAATGACCGGCACATCGACCGTCGTCGTCCAGTAGCGGTAAAACTTCATCCAGACGTCAATCTCGTGGCGCACGAGGCGGTCCCATCGCTCACGAAAGCGCGCGTACTGCGACTCGTGCACACTCTGGTTGTGCGTGTTCGTGAGCGTCATGTTAAAGTACGAGTCGAGCGCGTCCCAGGGGTTGCGCACGACGAGGATCACTTTGTGCACGGGGAACGCCTTGTAGCCCACGCGCTCGGGGAAGTGCGTCTTGACGAACCAGACCGAGTCGTCCACGACGCCTTCGCCCTTGAGCCCGTACGCCTGGAGCTCTTGGCTCAGCACGCGGTCGGGGCGCGTGTCACAGCCCGTGTAGACCCCCGTGACTTTTTCCAAGAGGCCCCGCATGAGGGAGTTCCCGCAGCGCGGATAGCTCGCAATGGCCACGCGCTCGCCATTGCGCTCGCCAGGCTGGAGCCACCGCATGTGGTCACTGGTGTTCCTATCGCAGGTGCTGCTCCTATTGCGATTGTTGACGTTGTTGACGTTGTTGACGCGAACGTATCGGGTGGTGATCGTTTGGAGCTGCTGGTGGGTGTACTCGAGAGCTTTTCGCGTGAGGAGCACAAATGGGTTCCACGCTAAATTGAATGCGAGGCTGGACACGACACGGGAAGAAGAGCAGTTAGAGAGAGAGAGAGTGAGTGAGTAAGTGCGTGTGTATTGTGTTGAGGAGGAGGAGGAGGTTCAGCGGTGTGTGGCAATGACAGGGAGCTGGGACTTACACTGTGCGGGGCACGAGAAGCAGCAGGTCGAGCGAGATGCGTACGAGCCATCCGCCAGTGGCGACAAAGATCATTGGACACGAGCTGTTGCAGAGGTTTATGTATCAAAAAGTGTAGGGGTCGTAGCGGAACGAGTGGGGCGATCGGTTTGCTCGCTGGTGCTCGATACGGTGGACGAGCGTGCAGCAGAGTCGGGGGAATGGACGGACTCGATGTGTACGATGCACAGGAGCAAATGAACGGAGCACGAGTGGCGACTTGGAGCAATTTGCTTGCAGAACGCTCGATGCTGGACGTTGAAGGTGATTCCTTTCGTGTCGCGAGGGGACGTACACGAGAAGGCGACTGTTGACGCTTGTTGAGGGATACGGCGGTCGGTGGCCATTGTCGCAGGGTCGATTAGCATGTAAGTTACAGCTCACTTTGCAATCGTGTGCCGCGTACGAGGGAAGCAACTCTTGTTATGGACAACACGTGTAGACTTCAAGCTGGCCAGGGAGTGTAGACAAACGAAGCTCACGTTCATGTTTGTGTTTGGGCCTTCGCCAGTGGGTTGTGACTGCCCTACAGCTCCCTTCGCGCGGGATATTGACTACTTCACAGACAATTGGGTTATCTTGCAGCCCTTGCAACTTCAGGAGCTCTTGAAGCTCAATATTCAATCGGCTGCCAACCTTCGTCGATTCAATGGACACCTTGTAACCAAGCTAGTAGGTACAGAACATCGACTCTGTCGGCAGGTCCATCACGCATGTGCAAGCAAAAGCGTGATGGTACGTCAGTATGCTTCATGTTGTAGGCCAGAGATTCTCAGCGCTTTCGGCCACAAAGAATAGTGTGGCAACAATGCAGACAACACACTTCCAAAACAATTCTTTGAAGCATCCTAGTCACATCATCCTCGACACAAGTCAGCACCAGCAAAGAGCATGCTGCTTCTTTGATAAATACATAGCTCGCTGTTCCAGATCATTTGCTCCATCGCATTCCCTTTGTCGGACGTTGTCAACACATCTCGTTACCTTTTTACCATCAAGAAACACAGCCATCTTTTCCTGCGCTCTCGCTGTCCGTTGAGTTGTGCGTCGATGTTCCGTGCTCGCGTAGCCCAACATTCCAAGTGCTTTCACGTAGTACACATACGTTGTTTTGGCTGGCCGACGCCGTTATCAACTTGCGATCAGTAAGTACCGCTCTAGTTCGGGGCTTGTGCGCGGTTGCGGCAAATGAGAAGACAGGCTTGGTAAAATAGGACTTCGGCCCCTTCACAATGTATTCCAATGCCGGTAAGATCCCCTAGCTAGCCAAGGAGGCAGCTGGTCTGAATACTTCCATGGCATCAAGACTGAGAAGCCTTCGTTGGAACAACCTACGTTGAGCTGAAGCGGAGAGTTCGAATGTGCCAGTAACTCCATCGTAGTCTGTGAGCAAAGAAGAGGAAACCAAAGTGATCTTTCTTACAAATTATATGCGAGTCTACGTCATGCAACGCACACCCTGACTTGCAACCGCCGAAGATCACACACTCACATGGTTCGCGTGTAAAGCTCTTTGGTACATACAACGGCAGCATGTGCGACTTCCTGTCGCAGATACATCAGCAAGTGTTCAGTCTTGATTTCTACCCTGAAGCCGGGACGTGTCTGTGGTCTCGTCAGCAAAGCCCTTGGTCAGCCGTATTATCTCAGACTGCTCCCCCAGTTGGCAACACAGCAGTTGTGAGAATATTAGCAGGAACAGCTGGAGCGTTAGGAACGTCTGGGAGTCCAGTTGGCACGGCTGGAGCTTTAGGAACTCCTGGGAGTCCAGTTGGCACTGCTGGAACAGTCGAAGCTCCGGGTATGGGCAAAGCTCCAGCGATTGCTGATACTTCAGGTGTCGCTGATAGTCCTTCAGTCGTACCGTCTGGGAATCCTAGGACTGTTGCAACGACTAACGGAAGGACTACGGGAACAAGTACAGGGAGTAGCAGATTTTCAGGGATCGCAGCATGGTCTTGAGCTTGTCCATGGGTTGTGAGAGCCGCAACGGAGGCGATTTCAAGGCAAACAAGAAGCTTCATCTTTGATGCGGCTGTGGAGGCAATATGTGATGTGAGGACGTGTTGTCGGGTACTATAATGATAAAGCAAGCAAGCGAGCCTTTCGACTGACCGTCGAGTGCAAACGAAAACGCGACTTTGATTAGTGTTCGTTCATACTTCTTGCAGTAACAAACGCACGCCACTTATACTCAACATGGGCCGTTTGCAACGACCAGTCGTAACGACTAGACTGAGGCATTCGGAGCTATCCGTTATTCGCGACTCGCCACAAGGGTGGTTGGTGCCCTCGGCGTCTCGACGTCAATGCAGCCTATGATGTGTAAAATAGCGACCGTATCTTCGAAATGACTTGATAAAGGGGTAGCTTATGATGGGATTCGATGACCAAGTCTGGCAAACTGTGCCCGGTAAACATCGAAAGGTCAGCAGATTTGTGCGATGTGATGCATGATCAGTACGTAACGGATCAGCTCACAACGGCCTGCAACGCTTCACGAAAACAGTATTACCATAAAACTATACCCGTTTGGCCATACGCAAACTTGTAACATCAGCAGACGACTGTGCACGTGCGCAGCATACCAAAGGATCAATGGAGAAAAATATATTTGGTTTCTGAAGTGGGGAAGAAAGTCGTCAACATGGTTCGCTGATACGCTGCAGTACGTTACACGCAGCGAGTAAGTGGCCAGAAACAAAAGAAACGCATTCGAAATGTGTAACAGGGTAGCCCGTTACATGAAATCACCATTGTGAGAAATGGAAATAAAGAATATTATGTTGAATATTCATTTAGCAATATCGCTGAATACAGTGATATTATTGAGATGACCCAAAGGTCGACTCATTAGTTAGTAGGCCACGACTAGGGGCACACCCCATTTTTGCTACGGGCACACCCACCCGCCTAAAATGATGATGAAGAGGACTTGATAATTTATGTGCAGAATAAGTAAACACGTAGTCACTTAATCTGCTCGATATATCCCTATCTTAAACAGTAATTGCACTCATGCGCGAGATCGTATCAATCCATCTTGGCCAGGGCGGTGTTTAAACGGGCTAAGCCTGCTGGATTCTCTACCGTCTCGAAAACGGTATACAATCCATAGGCACGATAAAAAGTTTGTACAAGAACCCAACAGCAGTCCTGTACGGTTATTCGTTCTCGTTCTTAATGAAAACGAAGGCCGCGGAGAATGTGGTGTGCAACGCGGTGGAACCGACGACGTGCAGGAGAGGCAAACGGTATTTGTTTATAAATAATTGACCCCATTACATAATGACCCGTAAGTCAGACGCTCGCGAGATCTGTGCTGTCAGTATAATGCCGTAGACGACATCCATGTTCACGACGGTGACGGCTCGTGCATCAGGAGAGCATATTGACCTGGATCATCTATCATGATCAGAGGGTGTCAAAGCTAATTAGCGGATGGTTACCCGCAATACTTGCCGCATGTCGGGCACAAACATCAGATTACCGCTGGCTCATTCAGCGATCTCGTTTTCGGGGCCCTCATGACTACTACAGTACAGGGAGGGAAGCTGCAGAATACGTGCTTGCAAGGGTACGGATGATTTGATCGAACGCCATGGACCGGGTCTAGCACGCGGCCAGGCTTCGTGTTGCGATTGCTGACTGCAGGAGACGGGTATATGGAAGTGCAGGAGTCAGACGGGTATAGAAAGCGGAAGAGTGGAAGAGTAACACTTGAATCAAAGCAAGCTGCATTGGTGTCGCCTTTTTGTTCCCTCATCTACGCGTCCACGCTTCGGCTTGAACGTTTGGAGCAGATAAAGTCGCCTCATGATACAGGATGAAAACAGACAGGCCTGGGTCCCACACTAACCCCGTTCACGTGTTCGGGCTCGGTCCCATCGATCATGGCCGAACTAGTAATAGCTGTTGTAGGCATCAATGGCTTCGATGCTCTCGGTATGGGTGAGGCTTTCAGGACGCCCACCAGGCCCACCAACAAAATTATCGATACCCTCTCCGACGCGACGAAATGCATGACCATCTGCGCTATCATAATGACGATGATGAATTCTTCCGTGTGTGTTTGTAGCTGCGACTGCAGCGAGCACGAGGCAAATGGAAAGCTTCATCGGGGACGCAAGCTGTTGTGGGTGGTGTGGGGAGACTGGGGGGTGTCTTGGCAAGATGCAAAATGATAAAGCGACCGATGCACGATTCGACCGACCTCGAGGCGAACGGGTCGAACTAAAGCTGCAATCTGCTTGTCCAGGGGATGATGGACATTCGTACTAAACATCGTATGCTGCAGACGCCAAATTGTTCGTTGCATACGGCCGAGACAGGCGAAATGATGCGACTGTTGCGGACCTGAGATTCAATGCAGCTGCGACGTCTCAGGTTTTGATCGCAAAGCCAACATGATACAGGAGGAAACAACGCTGACATCGTGTTCTTCATTAGCAAGTGAGGAAGTGCGAGGTAGCCGCCTAGCCATCTCTCGACGCTTTCATCACCTTTTATCTCATGTTTCGTTGCAGTGCTGAACGTCCGTCGGACGGGTGTCCACTTGCCCGCTGGGGGTACTTAGCAACGAAACTTGCTCGCAGAAGTGCGATGAACCAGTGATCAGCACGTGAAATGTACCCTGCGCCACGAAGTGTACCTCACCCTCGCTCTGACAACGTGTTGCTTGATATTGACGCAGATTCTACAACGGTCCTCGCAGCGGCATGATCGACCCTGACAAAAATTTCTCGATAGGTCAGCGTTGACCACTGTCCAGCTATATCGTATGCAGCCGGCGGTTCGCGTGCGTCTGTCCTTCCGACCGTCCAGGAAGGATCGAAAAAGCGAAACCGTTGTCGATGGTGTGGAATCACATGGCTACGAGGGATGAAGAGAGGAGGGAAAAAGAAGTTTGCAGCTACTGAACAGTACGAGTAACAGCGCGATGTGCACCCCATCGATCGCTGACATCGCAGCAGATACTCGGAGACGAGCAGATGAGTACATATGCGAGATACGTATTGGTAGCTCAGATCAAAGAA